TAAATAAAACTGAAGAAACTTGCTCCTTTTGCTTTATATACCATTTGGAAGACAGCTGGCATATGCCTCAGATGTTAAGAATCTGGTGCAAGCATCCCACAGGCCAATCACATTCATGTAGGTAACTTCAAAAGTGTGTTTTCTTAATTGTGCTGTTTACACTTGATTACACACACACACAACTGCAGAGTCCAGTTTTGGGATCACCTGCTTGGATCCAGTGACTTTGCTTTCAGAAGCAAAAATCTACAAATGCTCCCATGCAGATTCCGGGATACGATGTTTTGGCAGCAGCTGCCTGTTTAAAATGTAAAAGCAAAGCCAACCAGTCTTACACTACTTGTGGGATCTTTATATAAGTCACCCTGTGTTTCAGTTTTCCCATCTGTAAAATGGTATCATTATATCTACTTCACAGGGTTGTTATGAGGATTAAATAGTTTAGTATTTGTAAATGATTTAAACAGTGCCTGGCACTTTGTAAATTTTATAAGTTTTTAAAAAGCCATAATTAGAAATTGGACTAAACACTGAAGAGATACATTTACAAACACATTCAAGGCATGCACAATTAACGCTCTTGGATGCAAGTCACAGGAGATACAGACAAAGTCTTTTTGGAAATGAATGGGAAGGGTTACAGGATGGCTGGAACAAGGGGAAGTTGGGCAGCAGAGGGCAGAGCCAGAGAAGCCTGTGAAGAGCATCACGGAAACTTTCTGTCCCACTGACTTCCGATCTAGAAAGTGTAAGGTCAAAAGAATACACAAAGATCAACATTTTAAGTGGAGCTTTGGGCTCGTCCTTACGCACTATCCTTAGCAATCACAGTAAAAATAATCCCTCTTTTTGTCAGATGAGCACATGATGGAAGGTCTCCTATTAGTATCTAGAGTATTTCAAGCCAACCTAACCATCAATAGCTCCTGAACTTGGCATCTTAGAAATTTTCTCTCCTTTCTAGCTTGAAAATCTTGCGAAGGACCCAGATTGGCCCAGATTGGGTCAGATGTGCACCTCTAAATTTGTCAACTATGGTGAGGGAAGAGTCATAAAAAACCATTTGGCTCCTGTCAAAGATTCATGGTTGGCAATGGAGGCAAATTTACCCCAGAGGAGAGAAGGCCCAAGCAGACATGGGCACAGCTGAGCACCACAAGCTCACATTGTATCTACACTGCACAGAAGACCTGATGGGAATGAATTCATGAAGAAAATCCATTATTTGTACACACACCAGGTTCTAACATGGCTGAGAGAGAGCAGTGACATGAGTAGAGAAGAGAGAAAACAGGGCAAAAGAGAAATAACTAAAACAGAAAAACCAAGGAAGGCATAAAACTTCAACTAGTAATTGCCTTCTGTAGGCAAATCACAAGAAAAGAAGCCAATATTTGCTATGAATTTAATTTTCTGGTAAAGCTATAAACTATAAGGCATAAAGACTTAGTCCAAATTCTATCAGGGCCGTCTGATGATCTGTGATGAACTGGAGGCCACGTGGTACTACTGAAGAGTCCCACATGAAAGAATATGAAAGGCATAATTTATACAGAAGCAGGTAGAATTTCTAGTACACTTTTTAAGTGTATTTATTTTGAAAGAGAGAGCACAAGCAGGGAAGGGGCAGAGAGAGGAGAGAGAGAATCCTAAGCAGGCTCCACATTGCCAGCACAAAGCCCAACGCGGGGCTCGAACTCATGAACCCGTGAAATCATGACCTGACCTGAAATCCAGAGTTGGAATTCTTAACCAACTGAGCCACCCAGGCACCCCAAATTGCTAGTACATTTTAAAGTTTTCCCATGCTAGGGGTTAAAATCTCAGAAAAACAGATTCAATTAAGCATATAACACCCCAAAACAGTGTGACAAGTTGAGGTTTTAAGTGTGAAAGTACACGACATTTATAAAGTATGCTTACCAGTTGGAAGGGAGACTTTAAGATAGGGTCTGCAGCCAAGCAAGTGGAAACTGCTGGAATACTGTGATCTTTCTCCCTTCATAATGCGTAGACTAAGTTAAATTCCCTAAGTACTACGATAAATACACCTATTTAACTTTGTTCGGCTAAATGCTTCTCAACTATATTTGGTCAGGGAACCCTTTTTATTATGATGTCTGTTTGTATCCTAAGTGACCGATGTTCTAGGGGACATACTTTGAGAAATGCTATGTGGCAAATAAATAACTGCAGTTCGAGTTGAGAAACACTTGTGATATGTTTGTGTCTCTGAGGAAATTAGTAAGTAGGATACATTTTCTCAAATGCCCTTGCTATAGAGTGAGTTATTCTGTACTGTACACAGTGCAGAAATCTCATCTACCTTTTTCTACATACCATGCTGATGCAGAAATGTGAAAATGCTACGTGTTACCATAGTACTGAAACCACGTACCATAACCACCCCGACTTCAAAGCACCTTACAGAGGACGAGAAAACATCAGTATATAAAGAATGGCTCTGGGGGGCGCCTGGGTGGCTTAGTCGGTTAAGCGTCCGACTTTTGCTTAGGTCATGATCTCACTGTTCGTGGGTTCGAGCCCCACGTCGGGCTCTGTGCTGACTGCCAGCTCGGAGCCTGGAGCCTGTTTCAGTCTGTGACTCCCTCTCTCTCTGACCCTCCCCTGTTCACGCTGTCTCTCTCTCCTAGAAATAAATAAAACTTAAAAAGAAAAAAAAAAAAGAATGGCTCTGGAAAGGTGAGAAATTACAAAGTTCTCTCTGGTCCCTTAAAGGAGTCCTTGGAACTGCCCAATGGGGGGGTCCGCTCCAAATGACTGAGTCAATTTAGCTCACTCTCTTCAGCCCTCTTGACCAGCCGATGTCCAGGGTAGATATAGGAGCTCACCAGGTTCTCCCCAGGAGAGCTGGTGCCCCCTCTGGAGACAGGCCCCGCCCCCTCAGCTGCCACCTTCCTGCCCCTGGGCCAGTTCCATCAGAAATTACATTTTTCATGGCACAGGTATGTATCAAAGGTGGAGGAGCAAGGGAGTCCTGGTCTGGAACAACACTGTAAAAGTAGGGGGGTGGGAGGGTAGGCATACAGGTTCCTAATATCTGAGTTGGCTGAAATTTGGAATGAGTTTTTCATGAGAAGCAATATTGTGAGTGATAAATAGGTTCCCTACGTATGTATGTAGACCAGCTCTGTCATTGTTAGGTCATTTTGAGGGAATTATTATGAAAATATATTAGCATTTATAACATTATTTTCCTAAAAACTAAAAAAGCATTTTGTGTTCTAAATAGTGCACACTAAATACAATAATACAGAGAACTAAAACATTGGCTCCTTATGGATAGATCGCAGTTAGTTTCCTAAATCCTTAGAGTATCCTCCAAGGTTTGTTCATAGTCCACATGACATACCTTGGCTCTTTCGTTCAGTATTTCCTCCGCCTGATATGCCCCCTTTAATTCCTATAGCAATTCCTAATTTTAGCAAATGCTAACCAGCAAACGTCTTAAGTCTGATTTGGAAATCTGGTATTAATAGTCAGAATGAAAAAGGAAATGCCTTAAACAGAAATACATATAAATAATATTTATTTTTTCTGTTATTCAATATAAAAATATGCATTTCAAAACACTTTAATATATTTGATAAGATGCACAACGGAAAAGGCCTGTCTAGCAAACTCTGTTCCCCAATGAGTCTGAGGGGTCCAGATAACAGTGCGACGACGCGAGGCTGCGGCTGCAAGTGCACATCCCTGTTGTGTCAGCTCACCTGACTCAGAACAACATGAAGATGTGCTTCGAAGAGCAAAATAAAGGCAAATCACTGAACACCTTCCACAATGCCATAATAAAATATTCATTAATTCCTCTGTGTGGAAATCTGGGAAAAGATGGAGGGTGAGACTAGAAATCCTGAGACAACGTGAAAGTTCAGGGGCTCCGTATCTGCCAATACCATCATCTGTTACAGCAGCTGCTCAGTTGTCCAGCAAGATTTTATATGCAAGACTGATGGTGCATGTGGTCTTATCTCCTAGAGCACCATCGCCGCTATACCAGGAAGTGCTACCACAAACAAGTTAGTACCACACTTCATCATAAGCAGAAACTAAAACACCCAGGAGCCCCTAAAACAATTTTTTTTTAAATGGGACTCAGATTAGCAAAGCTTAGCATCAGCCAAAATCTGCTGGCACACAATGGGCAGAAGGCCAGCCCTACAGTGATGTATAAAGGTCACTTAATGAAAAATCCAAATAAAATTACTCTCAAAATATTTTGTCCATTATAATTAGTTTACAAATGGGACGTTTAAATTTAGTGAAAGGACTCTAGGGCTTTGGGCTAGAATCTTCCAACCAGAAAGATAAGCAATTTTAACACTGATTCCTATGATATTGTCATAAAGTTTAACCATTGACTTAAAGGATTCTGTTGAAATGATATGTGATAAAAGCTATGGGGGTAACAGATACTGAGTCTACAATGAAAAGTTAATCCTTTAACATTTTTCCCCTGAATCAGACACAAATACCAAGTATTTTCTACCTTTCTATCTCCAGAAATTCCAATGGGAACCCAGAAATGGGGGAGGGGAGGGAGGTCAACCTGCACCTGGCTGGTGCACTGTGAAAACCCTGGAAACAGCACTAAGAAGACAGTGGTGTTGCACACGGAGGGAAGAGGGAAACACCTGCCAGCACTGTTTCTACTGAAGCTTCAGTAAGGAACAGATCCCGATTCTCCTTCTAGCATTATCACTCCTTGCAAAACCGAGGCTGAGCGCTGACAAATATTTATGGTGCCGCCTGGTGACCTCCTCCGAGCTCAGAGCTCAGCCCGCGCTGGCTGTGAATGCGAGCAGCGCCGGCCCCACGGGAGCGCGCCCTCAGCCGCATCTACTGGCCGCTGCGGGTGCTGACCGATGGCTCCAAGTGCCCTGAAATTTCAGTGACAGGAGTGGAGCTAAAGGAAGAAACTGAAAAGGGAGAAAGTCTACGATGCTCTTCCACAGACAGAACCAGTATTTCACATATCCAGAAACTCAAGAAAATGGAAGCTCCTTTATTCCAGAAAACCTGTAAACTCGGAATTCTGCATGTAATCCTCTCTATAGGAGCAGAAGATGCTGTATATCAATGTCCACTTTCCTACTGAATCCTTGATAAGAGTTTAGTTTAAAAGGAGAATGGGAAGCAGTATCCAGATGTTGAACGATGGCTTGGACAACATCATATGAGGTGGCTTTTGGGTTTGCCACAGAGTTTGAGTTTCTTTGTCGTGAGCAGGTGGGCCAGGCCATTGAGAAACACCAGAACGATGGTCATGGACATGACAATCACGTAGTGGCTGATGCTACAGAAGGAGGAAAAGAAACACGTTACAGGCACACACAACACACATGGGAAAGAGCAGGAGATCTCTCTAAATAATGTTTCTAGATGTATACATAAGATACACAGAACTACAAAAGATACCAATGATGGTTTTTAAATTTATTTATTTATTTACTTTTCGTACTCTCTATACCCAACTTACCACCCTGAGACCAAGAGTCACATGCTCTTTGAACTGAGCCAGCCAGGTACCCTGATGTTCTTGAAACAGGTATCAAAATGGTAAAAAAGCCAAATCTGTTACAGAAGTAGTGATGAACATAAACAATATTTTGAGATCTCTCCAACAACTGCAATATGTTATGAAAATGTCTGATTGGTACTGGCAGTGCCTGCGTCTTTGTCACCAAAAGAAACAGAATTTCAAAATCCAGCTTTTAGAAACAAAGATAATTTTCCGCCTCTAATTCTTGCTCCCTCTGAATAACACCCAAAGACTCCCCAGTTGTCCAGGTGAAGTATTTTGGCATTTTAGAGCACGCCAACCTGTGCGCTCACAGAAGTTAGAAGTACCAGCAACCCCCACTCTGCCCAGATGTTACCCAAATTCAAATTCAGGGAAGTAAATATTTTAGTCAAGGAATCTAAACAAAGGGAAAAGGACCCATTTCTTTGTGAATCTCTAAGTAAAGCTACTGTCTCCCAGATTTTGCGTTTTTAGACCTTTTATCACTTTTAGTACTTTAAATTATTGTAAATACTTTTAATATTTTAATTTTTTAAAAAAGCTTAGTTATTTTGAGAGAGAGGGAGGGAGGGAGTGTGTGCGTGAACGGGCTAAGAGCGTGGAGCCCCACATGGAGCTCCATCCCACAAGCCATGAGATCATGACCTGAGTCAAAATCAAGAGTTGGACACTTAGCTGATGGAGCCACCCAGGTGCCCCTAAACTACTTGAAAATGAATAATATTAAATATGACTTGATTTCTTAACAAGATAAGTTTCATAACACCAGTAGGTAGGCGACTATCCTCAAATTTAGTGGAAGTCTATTTATAAGAGGTATTTTATAGATCACTTATCTCCTTAGAGTGGCCTGAAATCACAAACTTTGGGCTCATTTAAGCTAACATTATTGGCAGGAAATAGTTGTGAAGGTCATGACCTTCATGCAATTGAGCCATAAGGAATTCCAGGGCTTGGATCATTTCCGCACACCGGAGCTACAGAAGCATTCAACTTCAACTGGAAATGAGTTTAGCTGCTCCCACGCTCTCCCCTGGACTATTCTGAAATCACTTAAATCAGCAATTCTCAGGGCATACTGTGTGATGGTAGACGGACAGGGTGTCTGTGTGGAAGGTATACAGAATCATCAGGGGCCTGTGCCGCCTGTACAAGGGGTGGCAGAGAAAAGGTTGACTGTACTTTTCAATCAGGATAATGGGCAGTAGAAGCAGGTCAAATCTGTTGGATGGACTGGAGAAGACAAGTTTGAGAATCACTGATTTTAATAAAGCTTAGTATTCATTATAAAAGTAAAGATATTTTATAGCACTTATTAATGACAATTAGAATATTAAGATAGTATTGAACATAAGAAGTTATCATTATATCTAAAGAGAAATGATACTTTATTTTCATCTGTATTTTTTAAAAACTCTTTAAATGTTTTTTTATTTTTGAAAGTGAAAGACCGAGTACAAGCTGGAAAGGGACAGAGAGAAAGGAAGACACAGAAACCGAAGCAGGCTCCAGGCTTTGAGCTGTCTCCACAGAGCCTGACGCTGGGCGTGAACTCATGAACTGAGAGTTCATGACCTTAGCCAAAGTTGGATGCTTAACTGACTGAGCCACTCAGGCACCTGTCATCTGTATTTTAATAAAGTATAACAACAGTGCATGCAGGAAACAATCCCAATGGACACCACTATCAAATCAAACCAATTAGACTGATGATGCTGACTCTATTCACTTCACACCAAATAGACTTAGAACATAAATTTAAATATGTTTTTATAGTTATGAAAATTACCTCAAAGGACTTTTTCCCTAGTTTTAAAAAATGTACTTCTTTCAGTACACCATATAAAAGGCAGTACTCTGTAAAATTTATGACTTGCTATGAATGAAGATACAGTATAAAAGATCAAAAGAAGAAAATACAAAATTGTAGCTCTGTCAGCCGAGCTCGGTTTTATAGCCTGGGCAGAATCTTTTTCATATGGCTGTTAAAAGAACACCTGATGCCACAAGGCCTGCAGAGAAGCACGGAGTTTACAGCCACACACTCAGTGGACCACAGTGGCTGCAGTGCATTCCTGTAAGAGTCTCAATTTAATTCTGATAAAATCTGCTCACAAGATGCATTTTGAAACATACTGGACTATACCCATAAACACAAATATTGTCTCATGCCTAATAACACAATCTTTACTTTTGTTAAGTTTATTTATTTATTTATTTAGAGAGACAGACAGACAGAATTGAAAGCAGGCTGCCCACTGTAGGTACACAGCCTGATGTGTGGCTTGAGCTCATGACCTGCGAGGTCACGACCTGAGCCGAAATTAAGAGTCAGGCACTTAAATCAACTGAGCCACTCAGGTGCCCCAATACAATCTTTATTTTTTCAAGTTTTGAAAAATTTCATTTATTTTGAGAGAGGGGGAGAGAGAAAGAGACAGAGAGAGAAGGAGAGAGAGGATAGCAAAAGCAGGCTTTGTTTGGTGCAGAGCCGGATACAGGGCTCCAACTCACGAACTGCGAGATCATGACTTGAATCGAAATCAAGAGTTGGACACTTAACCAACTGAGTCACCCCAGTGCCCCTACAATCTTTATTTTTAAAGAAACTATTATTTATTTGTTAACCTGAAATTAAGTGCTGAGGAATCCTGCAAACCTATTTGAAAACCCACTGCGATCACCACGCTGACACCATGTCCATGACAGACACACGCAGACCACATCCGCGAGGCTGGTGAGCTCCCAGTCCTCTGGAGAATTCTGGGACAGTCTCACTTTTTCTGCGCTCATAAAGCAATCAATTAGTAAGGACATTTGTGTATAATTGGCATCCCTGTGTATAACAGGCATCTCACAGCTGAAGTTATTAACTGTATTACTAATAAAAAGGAGTTTATAAGTAAAATTAGTCACAAAGGGAAACCACTGCAGGAGCACGATTCAAATAACTCTGGGTCCTGTTAAGGAAACACTGCCAGTAAGTTTAATAATATCTGCAACATGATAAGAAACATCTCAGCTTTTCATGTATACATTCACACAGGAACCATTACAAACTCCAAAACTTAAAATGCAACTTTATCACAAACAGAACGCAGGAAAGAGTACAGTAATGAGGTTTTGATATGTGAACCTGACTGTAAGGTGCTTTAGCTTTGAATCTTGAAGCCTATCTTCCAGCCATTATCCAAGCCCTTTCCTGGCAATAAATCTGACACTGATGAAGGGGCATGAACCTCTCCTGCTCACCAGGACCTGTGCCGCACAGCTCACCGAGGTGGTGCAGGCTGCTACTGCTACCCAGCATGCAAAGAGAAGATCACGGAATTCTAACTCGTCAACAGGAGCAGCTGCAAAACAAAATCACCCCCCTGCAGCCCCAATCTGGGTAATTCCATACGAAAGCCTGATTTCTCTAACTCAGATTTCAGTCTGTTTCTCCATCCCAACCCCTTCCACCCCCCACTCCCCCTGCAGCCATCTTCCTTAGGAGGGCATGTTTTCGATGTTGTAATAAGAGACAAAGAAGACAAGCAGCACAGAGCAAGGGGTGACCAGGGGAGTGTGTGTATGTTGGGGGGGGGGTGGAATTTATGAAAGACTGTTCACTGCCTTCAGGCTGATGAAGAGAACTGAAGTCTCTCAGGGCAAGTGCCCCACTTCACCGAAGGGAGTTAGATCTGTGAGGGCAAAGCACGAGACTGAGATGGAGCGTGGTTTAACCTACCTTACTCACTGCCTATGCCTTTATCACCTTTCCATCCCCTCAGGATGTTAATGCTCCATACCAGGACAACAGACATAAACCTGGACCATTCCAGGGAAACCTGCACATGTGGTCACTGAATGTGAAGGGCTGCTCCCATTACAAAAAAATACTATTAGCACAAAATATTCCTACAGCACAGTTTTTCCCCTGTATGGCATTAATCAATTACATAATATTTTAACAAGTATAGTAAGTAAACTATAGTGTGAAACCTAGAGTTAACATATTTTTCTCATGGCTAGTCCCCTATCTGCGGGTGCTAATGCACCATTCTGTTTCCCTTGGTGTGGATGATGCTCAAAGTTTGTCTTATGCGTCTATAGTCTCTCTTTCTGCAATTATTCTGTGCTCTGATGAACACTTCATTCCCATGATGGTTGTGTATAGGAATGCAGGACATAGGCCTCGAGGTACCATGCAAGTGCCAGGAAGAACGTCATGGTAGATGTTAAGTACAAGTTTTGCAATGGCTCAAGGCCTCTTTTAAAAAAGATCAAGCAAGCACAGGTAACAAAAATAGACAAACTGGACTACGGAAAAGTTAAAAACTTTTGTGCATCAAAGGACACACTCAACTGCTTTTGGCTCATTCCCTCCTCATCGATATTTCTTTCTCTTTCAAATCCTAAATGTACAGTACTCAAAACTCTGCAGTGAATGGTTCCTTTGCAACAATCACAAACAAGATCAGACACAAAGCCACTTGTAACATAGAGTGTAGCAGAGTTACAAAGCAAAGCCTTTCGGAAATTCACCGCAAGTAGAGGCGACAAGGGGTGGTGGGCACACTACAGCCATGGCTGGTCAAGTGCTGTCCCCGGGCCCATGAAACCATCTTTACAAGTCACATAAGTCACAGTCTCTGTAGGGCCACAATGTCCTCATCTCTTGAATGAAGACAGTAAATACAGAGACTGTGAAAAATATCTATTTGACAGTGTTGTGGTAAAGATCACATGAAACACGGTGTTGGTGGATGCCGTAAACACTGCAGCAGAGCACAAATGTTGGTTATTTTGCGGCCCAGGTGTGACTGGGGGCAATCCTTTGACTGACATCCCGGACCTTCCACTCAAGTTCAAGCTTCTATCTTATTTTGCCTTTTACCTCATGAAAACCGATTCCATGGTCTCCAAACTGCCTTCATCAGGTCTTTCAGGACTCTGATCTCAAATAAGCAACTGCTGGGCATGTGGACACTGTGCTGCGGTACATGGCCATGCTCTGACCTTGTGAGTAAGTCTCTGCCTCTACTCTACTCTATAAACAAGCTTACTCCATTTGGGCCCCCATACCGGCTCCTGAACCCCAGCTTTGACAGAGGGTAATTAGCATTGACGTATCTAGGGACATCCACCCCTTCCAACTATGATATTCCTCACACTCATGAGCTAAATGAAATGACAACAAAATCTCAGAGAGAGGTGAGGGTATTCCATGTGGTTTCTGCCCCGTGTTTCTCCTTTCTTTTTTTTTTATTTTTTTTTATTTTTTACTTTTTAAATGTTTGTTTATTTTTGAGAGAGACAAAGTGCGAGTGGGGGAGGGCAGATGGACAGTGAGACACAGAATCTGAGGCAGGCTCCAGGCTCCAAGCTTTCAGCACAGAGCCCGACGTAGGGCTCGAACCCTGAACTGTGAGATCATGACCTGAACCAAGTCAGATGCTTAAGCGACTGAGCCCCCCAGGAGTCCCTCTCCTTTCCTTTCTCACTGAGCTGGAAAGAGTGGTCTATACTTATGACTCTACTTCCTGATCTCCCATTTCATGTATCCATTTCCCTTTCATTTTATCAGAGTTATACATGCAGCACTACAAACACGAAATAGTGGAGAAAGATTTAGAATGAAAACCAATAGTCCTCTTTCCTCCTTACCCCCTTCTCAGGGTGGCTGCTTTAGTCACTTCTCTTTCTAGGTCTTCTGGGGCTTTACCTCCTGAACACAATGAGTATCTCTATGTTGCTGTTTACCGATACATTCATTTAAAACATTATATAGTCAGTCCCTGCTAGGAAAGAGGAGAACGGAGCCTACTTAGAATATAACCCACTCACTTCAATTTTAGATGTGTTTTCTATTAGCCAGTTTTTCTTCTACTTTTCCTTCTGAGTCAATTTCAAGGTATAATTTATATGTAGGAAATTGGAACCATTTTAAGTGTCGGTAAGAAGAGTACTGACTGCACCCAAGTGGCCATCATCACTCAAGATACAGAGCTTTTCCATCGCCCAAAGTCCCCACATTCTCTTCTGCAGTCAGGCTCACCCTAACTCAGTGCTGGAGATGGATGATGGTGATAATCGCACAACAGTGTGAATGTACTTAATGCTGCTGAACTGTACCCTTAAAAGACATTAAGATGGTAAATTTTATTATCTATATTTTACCACAACTAAAAATAAGATAAAAAGGGGCACCTGGGTGGCTCAGTCGGTTGAGTCCTGACTCTTGATTTGGACTCAGGTCATATTCCCAGGGCTGTGGGATCAAGCTCTGCACTGCGCTGTGTGCTAAGCATAGAGCCTGCTTAAGACCCTTCCTCTCCCCCTGCCCTTTTCTTCCTGGTAGGACACACACACTCTCTCTTTCTAAAAAAAGAAAAAAATTAACAAAAAAGATAAAAATTTAGTCTCACTCAAAAACACTATATTTAGGGGCGCCTGGGTGGCTTAGTCGGTTGGGCGTCCGACTTTCGCTTAGGTCACGATCTCGCGGTTCGTGGGTTCGAGCCCCGCGTCGGGCTCTGTGCTGACTGCTAGCTCTGAGCCTGGAGCCTGTTTCTGTCTGTGACTCCCTCTCTCTCTGACCCTCCCCTGCTCACGCTGTCTCTCTCTCTCTCTCTCTCTCTCTCTCCTAGAAATAAATAAAACATTAAAAAAAAAACAAAAACACTATATTTTACAAGAGTATGTTCCAAACAAAATTCTGTGTCTAAAGTTAAAACAAATTAAGAAAACTTTGGAGAGTAAGGGTAAGTATGTCAAACACAGGAAGCACTCTGAAGGATGAAAAACAGAACTACAGAATAACATCAATACTAATCGTTGCCTTTACTAAAGCTTTTTAGATGTCGGACACTGTGCTAATTCTCTGCATGGAGTAATATATTCAGGCGACTACATGAGATGCAGGAGAGATTAGAGAGATTAAGCCTTGCCGATAGTCTCTCAGCTAAAATGTGGCAGAAACTGTTCAATCCTAGTTGCCTTGGTCTCAAGCCTATGTTCTGACACATTATCTCATCCGGACACTTTGGGATCAGAGGGCTGGAGAGAAGACACCACAACTTTCCCTAAGCATTCAAGCTTCAGAGCAGTGGAACCAAAATGGTCTAGGGAGTAGCTTTTATGTGCCTGGCACACATGGGATGAAAGATTCAATCAGATGAGGCAGGGAGGCAAATAGGTCTATGAATAATGAGGCTGTACCAGGAGTGAGCTGCCTAAGACGCAGGAAGAGAGGAGAGAAGGTCTAACACAGTCTCACCCAGACCGACACAATTCCCAGCAACACAAGTGCCAAATGAATGTTGACTGAATGAAACAGAATCGGTCTAGGGATGCCTGGGGGGCTCAGGGATGCCTGGGGGACTCAGTCAGTTAAGTGTCCAACTCTTGATCTTGGTTCAGGTCACAATCTCACGGTTTGTGGGTTTGAGCTCCAAGTCGGGTTCTGCACTGACAGCGTGGAGCCTGCTTGGGATTCTCTTTCTCCCCCATCTCTGACCCTCCCCCACTCGTGCCCACACTCACTTTCTCTCTCTCAAAAATAAATAAACATTAAAAAAAAGAACCAGTCTATAAAAAATGTATCCTGTCTCAGAGTGCATTTGAAAACAAAAAGGCAAGAAGACCAACCCTGCTTTCTCTCAAAGAGAAGAAATGTAACAGATGAGAGCAATCGTTCACAGTCAAATCACAACCAAGAAAAAATGGACTTTCGGTTCAGATTATACTTTAAATAACTTTAAATAACACTGGTGTACATTACCCACATTACATATTCTGATATTAAAGATTCTAAGGGGCAGATAATGACTACATGCAATTGAAATCACCACATAAACTTCATTTTGCAACCGAGTAGCGTCATTTCTCTGAAGAGACTGACAGCTTGGGAGAATACGCAGACTGGAGTGACCTTCTCTGAAAACCCTGCTCAGATTCAAGCAGTTTCTCTTGCACCTTCCCTGGGATCCATCTATCCTCACACTGCCCCAAGAAAACGCTTGCTAACGTGCTAATGCCAACAACTTGAGAGATGTGTCTCACTTTCAAAGGCTTAAAATAATTGCTACTTGTTATGCTTACCTCAATTGGCACCTTCTACTAAGGTATCAAGTTATTTAGTTTTTACTGTACTCTTAAGAATTGCTACATGAATATATACTGCACCTTGTTCCAATATCAAGCCAGCTGCCATAATCCTTGACCAAGAAGAAAAAATGCTGTAAAATAAAACAAAATATGGCTCTATCAAAACAAAGGTATTTTGATTCAGCTGAAAAACAATGTTTTTGGATTACAGATTTCAAATTTCTGACCTCTCATAATCATTATCTGACTAGAATCTAGAAGAATATGCCCTTTCCAGGAATTTTTGCTTGGACTAAAATGAGCAAAAGCCTGAGAGCAAGGTGTAGCATTACCATTCAGTCAAATGAACATTAAAAGTGACATTTATGAATAACTAGAAATAAAGATAACTCACTTAATTTTTTTCAGTAAGCTCTATGCCCAGTGTGGGGCTTGAACTCATGACCCCAAGATCAAGAGTCACAGGCTCTGCTGACTGAGCCAGCCAGATGCCCCAATTTTAATAAAAGACACTAAATAATACCAAAGCCTTCAGTGAAAGAAAGCCATTATCATTCATTTATCAACAAATATTTTACTGGCGGTATACTATGTGCTAATCACTGTGTTAGGTCCTAGAAATAAACTCTCTTGCAGGAGGTGTATAATCCAGTGAATAATTCAATCGAACTATCAGGGGTGTGTGTGTGTGTGTGTGTGTGTGTGTGTGTGTGTGTGTGACTGTGTGTGAGAAGAGTGTTATCACTGGAAAACACAGAGGAAGGAGTACATGCCCCAGATGGAGTCTAAAGGAAGGCTGTCCCAATAAAAAGTCTACAGATCTAAGTAAAAGGTAAGAGTCAGATGAGAGAGGAGTCTGAGGACATGAGAGGAGAAGTATGTTCCTGCGAGAGGGAGGAACCTACAGAGACGCCAGGAGCGCGGGCAGAGCGTGCCAGGGCCAACGTGAGCCTGGTGTGGAGAAACACGGTGGGAGATGACGCAGGTCAGGTAAGCAGAAGCTAGGCCACAAACGGCTGTAAGCTGTAAGCAATCTCTTTATAAAATTAATCAGAAGTTAAATTCCCTTCTGTTAACATGTCTTGCTTATTTGCCACGTTGTGAGCCAACTGAAAGCTGATTTGTCCTGGCATTATTATGTGTAATCAATTTCAGAAATACACTGAATATCCAGTTCAACAGAACACAAAAATGCTCTCCTCTAAATCAAGCGACTAGGAATCTGATTTGGGAAGTTACCCTACTTGGTGTCTCTGATTGGTTCTAGCATCTGATGTTGTATAGTGAAGAATTAACCTGATCCAAAGAGAATTCTGGCTTTTGCTTTCAGTTACTTGGGGGTGACATCTAGGCCCACGAGATGTCATGCCTGATGGGTGTATTTTGCCTGGGGCTTTAGCCACTGGACAATTTTATATTGGGGGCTTTGGGCCATGTGGTATCAGTTCTGCCTCTAGAAGGGCTGGACATGAGAGGTCAGCCATGGGAACGAAATGGGACTGATCCCCACTAAACGGTGACACGGAGGGCCTGGTGAGCCTGGTCGGCGCGTGACTCCGCAAGGACAAGAGGACCAGAGCTCCCTCCCTAGACTCCGCCTTCTGAGTTTCTCCCCCCGGCTCACTTCCATCTGTATCCTTTCCTATAATAAACCATAACTGTGAATAGAACAGTTTTCAGTGAGTTACATCCGTGTAGCAAATTATCAAACCTGAGGGCAGTGTTGAGAAGCCCCTGAACCTGCAGGCGTAAAGTAGGATCTTTTTGTAAATGCACTCCATGCGAGAGGCTCTTTACCTCCTACAAGCTCTTTACCCAGAACTCACTTATGAGAGCCATCAACTTAGTAACATCGTCCTACTTGAAAAGCTCTATTTCTTCTTTCCTTCCTTCCTCCCCTTCCTCCCTTCTTCCCTTTTCTCAATCTGAGAGAAGGGTTAAAATAATCAACATTTGAAGCAGTAAAATGATGTATTACCTAAATCTAAAGTTAGCTTTTTCTGTTAACTTCCTACGGAAGGTTCATTTCAGACACAATGCACCATGGAAGACTAGGTATAAAGTGACAGATTGAAATAAATCAAGTAGGAAGACTTCTGATAGTTTCAGAAGAACACCCTTCCTGCACAAGTCATATAAAGAAAGTACTTTATGTGTGTAAATTATGCCAGTACTTATAACTTAATATCTAAAGATTTCATGCACAGAAATGCATTCAGATCTCTCTTGATTAAATTAAATCAGCACTTAACTTCTCCAGCTTATTTATACTGCATATTCAATAATGCCTTACCAAAGCCATAATGTCTGATATGACGAGAACCATGAGAAAAAGGCTGGAAAAAAATAAAGATAGATTACACATAATAGAATAGGCACATTTCAAAGCACAGCAAAATAAAAATTAAATCAATCATATAACCCAACATTCTGTTAGCATTTTTGCTTCCGAGAATACCACTTTTTTTGAAAAGAGTTCTTTTCATGTTATCATGGGCAATTGACCCACAGTGATGGGCCGGTATTCAAAAATGTTATTTAACATTTTGAACATTTATTACAACAGTAGGAAAGGGACCCGAATTATGGTTTTTAATTAAACTTTTTATTTTGTATAAACATACAATTATAAGAAATAATATAGAGGGATCTCCTGTACACCTTGCCTAGCTTCCCCCAAGGTAGTATCTTACAAAACTATCGAACAGTATCACAACCAGGATATTGACACTGATACTGTCAAGATAGAGAATGTCTCCATCATTACTAGGATCCCTCCTGATACTCTCTCATAGCCACATCTGTCCTCCCTGCCACCAGGCCTCTGCCTAATCCCCAACCCCTGAGAACCACAAGTGTTCTCCATTTCTATAATTTTGTCATTTCAAGAGTGTTGTGTAAGTGAAATCATTTATATAACACTTTGTAACCTTTTGTGAATCTATTTTTTTTCACTCAACTTAATTCTCTTGAATTCATCTAAGGTGTCGTGTATACCAATAGTTTCATCCTTTTTATCGCTGCATAGTACTCCATTTATGGATGTACCACTGTCTGCTTAACCATGCAAGCACTGAAGGACATTACAAATAAAGCTGCTATAAACACCTGCGTACAGTAGATTTCTCTAGGTAGTAGTAAACAAGCAGTTGCGTGTTTAGTTTTATAAGAAACTAAAATTCTTTTCAGAGTGGTAATACCATATATGTTCCCATTCGTAATGTATGAGAGCAATTTCTGTGCATCTTCACTAGCTTTTGGTGTCACTACTTTTTATTTGAGCTATTCTGATCGTTGTATATACCTCAGTGTGGTTTTAATATGCATTTCCTTAATCATTAACAATGTTGAATATCTTTTTGTCAGCTTCTCTGCCACCTGTATGTGCTCTTAGGTCCTCTGTTCATTGTGTCATTAAATTGTTTGGTGTTTACTGCTGAGTTTTGAGAGTTCTTTATATAGTCTAGATCGTAGTCCTTGGTCAGATACATAGTTTGTGAATATGCTCTGCCAGTATGGGCTTGTCTTTTCATTCTTTTAACAGGGTCTTCTTTTTTGCAGAGCAAAAACTTTTAATTTTGATGAAGTCCAATTTATCAATATTTCCTTATATGGACCATGGTTTTGGTGTCAAGCCTAACTTTTTTCCTAGCCCAAATCTCAAAGATGTTTCTTTGATGCTTTTCCTAAAAGTTTGAATCTATGGTCCATTTTGAGTTAATTTTTATGTAAGATGTAAGATTTTGGTCAAGGCTTAGAAAAAATCACACAGCATGCCTACTTGATTTCCTTAACAAGGCAATGAAGAATTTAATGCTCATGGATAATACAGAATCTTAGCTTTTTTTATTGCAGAAGAAATGGATAAATTTCCCTCTGCATTACAGTATCACAGCAATTAGATAATAAAAGGGAGAAAATGCAAATCCTAAAATCACTTGGTGCTTTTGTCATAAGTCCAAATAGAAAACAACAATGAAAAGCGCCTGCAGATTTTTAAATTTCTATATACAATACAGAGGTGCAAGAAAGCTGCATATTTCTCTCATCTCATTTATAAATCTAATGTTCTTTTTTGTCTTTCCTCCTGGGAAAACTCATGTGATCAATTATTGAATTTCATTACATAATTCTATTTCAACTAGTCTAAAATCAGTGCTCTGAGTCTAAAATCATCCTTAACTTCTTTTAAAGACATAATTGTTTTTCTAACTATAGGTCTGAAATGTAGAAATGTAACTCAATAGTTCATATACACAGATAGGAGCACAAGTTGAACTTGTCCTATCTTAAGTGAAATGTTATGTTACCATTCCAAACAAATCTGATGTAAGAGACATACAAGAAGTATGTTAAGCTAAGAGTTTGTGGAGAGCAACCTTCAGTACAACCTTCTGTCCAAATGACCAATTCTCAAAGTAACAATTTTGATGAAAGCATGGGTTTTAATGGTTCCAGTTACAGAATCTACCCTAATTGACACAGCCCCAATTATTTCAACATGCTTTCCTTCTTTAAATCAAAATCAGTGAAACAAAAATTCTACCCTATGGCTGTAGATCTGCTAGAACAAGAAGAAAAAAATAAAGGCAATTTAAATGCAACAGACTTAGGGCACCTGAGTGCCTCAGTCAAATGAGTGGCTAACTCTTGATTTTAGATAAGGTCATGATCCCAGGATCATGGGATTGCAGGATCAGGCCCCATGTCAGGCTCCATGCTGAGTATGGAGTCTGCTTAAGCTTCTCTTTCTCTTCCACTGCTCCTCTCCCCCACTTGCACTCTCTCTCTTTCTGTCTCTCTAAAGTGAAAACACTTTTAAAAATGCAACAGATTTTTAAATACCTTTTTTGACCAACCAACACATGAAAAAATGCTCAATAACACCCATCATCAGGGAAATACAAATCAAAACCACAATGAGATACCACCTCTCACCTGTCAGAATGGCTAACATTAACAACTCAAGCAACAACAGATGTTGGCGAGGATCCAGAAAAAGAGCATCTCTTTTGCACTGCTGCTGGGAATGCAAACTGGTGCAGCCATTATGGAAAACAGTATGGAGGGTCCTCAAAATATTAAAAATAGAACTACCCTATGACCCAGCAATTGCACTACTAGATATGTATCCAAGGGATACAGGTATGCTGTTTTGAAGGGGCACATGCACCCCAATGTTTATAGAAGCACTAACAACAATAGCCAAGGTATGGAAAGAGCCCAAATGTCCATCAATGGATGAATAGATAAAGAAGATGTGGTATATATAAACAAGGGAGTATTACTCGGCAATCAAAAAGAATGAAATCTTGCTATTCGCAACTATGTGGATGGAACTAGAGAGTATTATGCTAAGTGAAATTAGTCAGAGAAAGACAAATATCATATGACTTCACTCATATGAGGACTTTAAGATACAAAACAGATGAACATAAGAGAAGGGAAGTAAAATTATATAAAAACAGGGAGGGGGACAAAACATAAGAGACTCTTAAATATGGAGAACAAACAGAGGGTTACTGGAGGGATTGTGGGAGGGGGGGATGGGCTAAATGGGTAAGGGGCATTAAGGAATCTACTCCTGAAATCATTGTTGCACCATATGCTAACTACTTGGAAGTAAATAAAAAATAGATAAATAAATAACTTTTTTGAAGTTTTGTTTGACATTTTTAAATGTTTTTCTAAAACCATGTTTTATTGTGGGACACCCAACACAGATGATGTTCTGCAACCCTTTTAAAGTAAGACGCACCTCATAGGAAGAAGACTTACTATCTCCTTACCCTCAGCTTCCCTATCTATAGAATGGGCAGGGTAACAGCTACTTCATAGTACTGTTGGGAAAATTACGTCAAGTAATATATGTAAAGTATCTAATACAGTGCCTGCCTAACACTGCTGATTTCTTTCTCACTCCTTGTAACAAAAAGTTTACATAAAATTAAAGACAGTGAAAGATACAATCTCTGTCCTTACGGAGTTCAGAGGGTGTGAATTAGCTGAAGCTGTCACAACAAAGTGCCACAGACTGGTGGCTTCAACAACGGTGATGCAATCTCTCGTAGTTCTGGAGGCGGAGTTTCAGATCAAGGTTGTCAACACGGTTGTTCTTCTGAGGCCTCTTTCCTTGGCCTCTAGATAGTCATGTTCTCCCTTTGTGTCTACCTGGTCTCCTCTGTTTATGTCTGTGTCCTAATCTCCTCTTCTTCTAAGGACACCAGTTACATTGGATTAGGGCCCACTCAGATGGCCTCATTTTACCTTAATTATTTCTTTAAAGGTCCTGTTTCCAATACAGTCCCATTCAACGGATGCATTTGGTGGGCTGGGGGGTGGTGGTGGTGCACAATTGAGCCCATGACAGGGTGTGAAACAGAAAAATAAGAAATAGTTACCCTATGAGTTACCTAACTTATGTAGGAATTTGAGGGGAGGGCAGCTGGGTAAGAAAAGTGTATCAGACAATATGGTGTCTGATCTAAGACTTAATTAACAAGAAGGAAAAAGCTTTTCCGGAGCAAATTTTGAACTATTCTGTGGAGACTGAGGAACAGAGAAGTTGCCCAAGTCGCACAGCTGACTTTGAACACAGCCAGTCTGGCCTCAGAGCCTGTGCTCCCTGCCATGACACACATTGTTTCCCCAAGGCACTATCTCCTCTCAGAAGCCTGCAGCACGCTTACCATTTTCCTATGAATGTGTCCTTTGTTTCCCTGGTTTTATTCACATATTGTTCAAACAAGAAGGCATAAAAGTAACTCAGTGTTCAATACCTATGGTGATCAAATCATTGTGAAAGTAGGATGGGATTATTACTTTTCCCGTTCTGGATACAATATTTCCATTAAAAGCAGGTGAGTTTTGGTATTTTATCTCTAAGATGTTTTCATGCCACTGAGCAGCTAGAATCCTAGGAGTCTGTCCCATGAATACCTTGATTCAAGAAATAAATACATGCTACTCGGTTTTTATATGAATGGATAACGATTGTTACCTCTTACCACCTCCACCAACCCACTACGACTGCTCATCTCTAATGGTCTCTCAACTGACCTCCCTGCTTTTACTCTCATCCTCCTAAAGTTATTATCCATACAATAGACAAAGGAGCCCTTGAGACCTTCCAGTGACTTCTTGCCATGACTAGGAAAATTCTGCAAGTCCCAACTATGGCCTAAATGGCCTCATATGATCTGGTCCCTGCCTATCTCTCCAACTTGATTTCCTACAGTTCTGCTCGCACACTCTGCTTACAGAGTCCCCTGCTGGTCCCCTGCTGTTCTTCAAATACATGATGTCCCCTCCTGCCCTTTGTGTGCTCCACACCCTCTCCAGCTGAGAGCGCTCTTTTCTCATAGGGTTTCATGGTTCATTCTGTGTTTATTCCTGTCTCTGTTTAAATGTCTCTTCAATCTATTTTTCTTCCTGACATTTAACACAACCTGACATTTTATGGCAAACGTTTTATTTATTATTTATCTCACTGAGTGGACAGCTCTACTCACCACTGTTTCATCAGCAGCTAGAACAGTGGCTGGCAGGCAACGGAAATTCAAAACGTCATATGCTAAAGGAATGGTAGACGTAATCAGCACGAAATAAAATTGAAAACGGCTACTACCACACATTGTGACATCTCTTTTAGACACAAGACTGACTTAATTCCTTCCTTTTGGTTCCACAGGACACTACAAAATTTGACCCAGAAAAATCAGACATGGTAGAAACAACACCAAAAAACACTGCAGAAAGCTAAAACCACCCAGGGTAAAATCTTTAACTGACAAAACAATGATGGAGGAAGTAAACTTTCTTGATAAAACCAGGCCTATAATCTGACCTAAGTAAATTAGACCTGCTGGAGATAATAACCATTAAACAAACAAACAAAAAATCACACCAGCATGAGCTAAAATTCATAGACTTTAAGATAGATAAAAATTAGATAAAGAAACCAAAATTTTAAAAATTGACCTCAATAAAAATAATTTCAATAAATTGAAAATCAAAATGAAAACTTTTGAAAAAAAAATGAAAACCTTTGGAAGTAACTTAAAATTACTTCATATAAATTAATTGAAAAACTAAGCTGGCTTAATAGAGTTTCCCTGGAAAATGCTCTTCCAATAAAAGTGATTCGATATTGGTGTAACTTTGATTCAAATGTGGATTCCTAAATATGGGAGCATACGATCCTGAAGATCAAAACATTTAACAGAACAAAACAGAATATTCAAAGTGATATTTTCAAAACATATTGTATTCATTTAAATTAGTACAGGGCATGTGAAACCAGCTTTTTGACTGCTGGATTACACTGATGACAATTTGACCTCCCCAAATTCTTTTTCAGTCACTACTGTTTAGCCATGGCTCTCCTGTACAGTTGAGTATGTGCTCAAATATAGAACTGAAAAATTATCCCTCTTAGGTATCATTATATGGTTGGTTGTGGAATACTTCTGTAATCCTAACACTCTTCTCATTCTCCATTGCTGTCCAGTACTCTCTTAGGCTTTGATGCATGATGGTGCAGAAGGTCTTTAAGTTCCACGTCACCTCATGCTGTGAAATAGACTGGCCTGAAAATATCTTCCTCAACTGTCGGTTTCCTATACCCACTCCAAGCCACAACTTCTTTCAGGTTAGAAGAAACATGTGCCCATTAGAGTCCTGCTCATTCAGGCCTACTCTCAAATACACTGGATGGATCATTTGGGAAAGGAACCGCTTCCTTGATGGGAGAGGAGAACCAGCTGACATATCTCTTTGGCCTTTTCCCCTAACAGTCCTTCTGTTAGGGGCAGATATGATGGCAGATATGATGCACGGAGGCATGAGGAGAAAGGCCAAACTCAGAATGGAAGGGCAAAAAGCAGGTTGCTGATGATATCACACCAGCTCTGGATGCCAACCCTGCACTCCATGTTCTGTGAGACACTGAATTCCCTATTTCAGCCACTATTAGTTATATTTCCATTGTTTACAACCAAAAGCATCATTTTTTGTTGTTTTCAAGAGCATCCTTAATGGATCAACCATGAAGTAATCTTCGTGCCCATGGTGTGCCAGTCTCAGGACATAGTTACTACACATACACACCCTCTACTTCTCATTCCGCACGTCGCTGGCTCAGGACAGAGTTACTACACACGTACACACCCTCTACTTCTCATTCCACATGTCTCTGGCTCTTCCTTGCTAAACGTTAAAATCCCTGCCAACAAATATGTAACTGCTCACAGAGATGCAAGGAAGCACATGTCATTTGCCAGTTTTTCTTACTGCATCTGTTTTTATGTGATACTGACAAGGTATAAGTGTTTTCAACGTTAAATTCATGTAAATATGCTGTAAAAATACTAAATTAAACCAGAAAGAAGTTGCTATTTTTAAACAGTGGAAGAAAATCTTTTAAGATTATTATTATTACAGCAGATGCATAAGAATATGCTAAACTCAGTTCCAGCTTAAACTCATCAAAAAGAATATGCAAATTTATGCTAATATTAGTTATTTCCTTCAGCATTGAATATGCCAGTTTGATTCAAGAATAACTGCTAAGAAGCTTCATATTTATCTCAAGTGTCTTTCAGAGCCTGATCAGTCCCATGCTGATGAGGCAATTTTATTGGTTAAAAAAAGCAAATAGTTGAGTTGACAGCTTCTCTTCCAGAGTCTTGATTGCTTAAGACTGACTGCTCAGAAATTTCTCAAAACTTAGAAAGAATAATTCCCATTCCACTTGTCAAATGTGTAGAAAACAAGACTAAGAAACTACGTGAATTACTGACATGCAGAACAGTTCATTTAAAGCCATGTGAAATGAAATAATGTTAACACATTTGTCTCATACATATTTAACAAATAACCCAAAAGAAAAGAGAATGATATCCCTTGTGTTTTGTAAGCACTTATATCTACAATAAACAAGTCATTACTATAATTTAACATTTATGTTTTACTGTGTTCTAGTGAATCTCTTCACTAGATTGAATAATATTCTAGTAACATTTTATTGCTGAGAAAGCATATTTGTCTGCTAGAGGCTCTAATCAACTAATTTTCTCTAATGACAGCTGAACTCTGGCTACAAGGGCACAACATTTTTTGTCTCAATTTTATAATAACAACCATTTTACAGCATCTTAGTAATCATATGTTTACTCTCACTGCCTGAACATGGACAAATCCAATGCTTCTGAAACATTCACCTTACCTTTTTGATGATAACCGGGTGGTTAGCTGAACTGCTTCAAAAGCACACATCACAAGAATAAAGGGGATTAGAATCTGTTTAAAAGGACAAAAAAACCAAGCCATGGGTAGCTAAAGAATTTGAAAAACTTAAAAATAAATGCTATTTCTGCTTATAGCAATAATTTAACTTCTCAAATAATTTTATCTATGTTAGTGAAGAGCAAACTCTGAAATAAAACCATGATACCGATGATTTATAGAATAGTGATGAAATTGATTAAAATATCAACACCAAGAGGATATGTAGTATAAAAAGATAACAAATAGCACTCATTCCAAATAAAACCTAATACAAATTTTTGATTTAAGTCATTATAACAATTAATGACCCTGTTCAAATGATTCCAAGAGAGTATGAAAGGCACAGAACGCCCCAAATCAAATAAATTAGAGTGGCTGATAATTTGATTCACAGATCCCTGAACCCATCTGGTCACTTGATACTGTAACTCTATATACAGGATTTAGCTGTTCTGCCATTACTTTTTGTTCATTTATCTTAATACAACTTTATTTCTGATTATACAATTTAGACTCCCTGTAAAATATTTATTAAAAAATTGAGAAGGGTATAATACAATTTATACTGACTGAAAATCCATAATCCAGAGCTAACACTGTTAATATTTTGAGATACGGCATTCCAGTAACCAATGGAAAACACACACACACACACACACACACACACACACACACATTTGATGTAGAATAAAAAGAAAGGAGAGAGAAGATAATGAAAAGAAATGATGTTCAAGACTGTATAAGCTTCTTTCAAGTGAAGGACATATGACTAAAATACAGTTCGGGTGGACCTTCCCTTCTGGCCACATCAGTCAAAAAAGCCATCCAGTGCATTATGTCAGTACAGTTCTGAATGTGGCTGGAGAGTAAAGATCTAGTATTTTAATTTAAACTTTGTTTTCCTTTATTTTTTTAAAGGAAGTTTTCGTTTTTGTTTTTGTTTTTTGAGAGAGAGAGAGATAGTGCCCAGGAGATTAGGGGAGGGAGGAAGGGGAAGGGAGACAGAGAGAGAGAGAGAGAGAGAGAGAGACAGAATCTTCAGCAGTTTCCATACTCAGCATGGAGCCTGATGTAGGACTTGATCTCACACCCCTGGGATCAAAACCTGAGCTGAAATCAAGAGTTGGAAGCTCAAATGACAAAGCCCCTTCTTTACTTTTTTCTTATTTTTTTAACTTTTTTTTTTTTTTGAGAGAGAGAGTGTGAGCAGGGAAGGGGCAGAGAGAGGGAGAGAGAGAATCCCAAGCAGGCTCTGCACTGTCAGCACAGAGCCTCACACAGGGCTCGATAGGATCCCATGACTAGATGACTGTAACCTGAGCTGAGATCAAGAGTCAGGCACTTAACCGACAGACCCACCCTGGTGCCCCCACTTTTTTCTTATGTTTAATGAAAGACCAATACTCTTCTGTAGAATAAGAAAAGAGCAACTACCATTAAAAACTGTAACTGAGGGTGCCTGGGTGGCTCCGTCGGTTAAGCGTCCAACTTCCACTCAGGTCATGATCTCACAGTTGGTGGGTTCGAGCCCCATTATCGTTACTGGGCTCTGTGCTGACAGCTCAGAGCCTGGAACCTGCTTCAGATTCTGTGTCTCCTTCTCTCTTTGCCTCTTTCCCATTCACGCTCTCTCTCAAAAATAAATAAAAATGTTAAAAAATTTTTGAAAAAAAATGAAATTGAAAGTTAAAGAAGTAACACATTTTAAAATAACTCAGCAGAAAATGGGACATGAGAAAAACATCTTTTTGACTTTTCTTAGGATTACATTGTATCAATGCAATAACCAAAAGAAAGAATATTAATCCAATTAAGAGACATACACTTTTAACAATGATTACTTTTGTGAGCTGAACAGAAGGTAATCAGATTTTTGGCAGATCTATACTAACTACATAAAATGTGCCAGGCACTGTGCTCGAGGGAATAAGACAAGCATAATGACCCTGAAGAAGAAAGGAAAGAACATGAATTACATTCCCCGGGAGTCTGCACCTCCAGAGCTGAGGAGCCTGCGTGATCCTGGCACCGCTGGTGCCCTGCGGGGCCCACTGTACCCAGCTGCACTGTTGTAGGTGTAAGCACCCAGTGACCTGTTTGTTGAGTGAACCAATCAATTCTAGGTTCACGGATTATGAGAACAGATTACACCATGTCGGCAGTCTTATGGGGAACATCCAGAATTTTTGGGAGCATGGCTCTTCTGATCTGCACTGCATTTCCCCACAGGGTTGAATCATCTGTGATAGAATTTACACAGAATCTGTAGTCTGTGGAAGTTAAGAGGGCTTAAGGATAAGGCAAAAAGATTAGCTATATTTTGGAGTAAAAGCTAATGGCTCCTACCTCCCATACAGCATTGTCTGGGAAAGTGTCTTCTTTCCATGCTATTTCACTCTGTTACAACAACTTTATAATGTCCCAGTGAATTAATTGATAATCTTAATCAGTATCTTTTTCTTCAAAGTTTATTGTCAAGTTGGTATTCCATATCTTAATAAAATAAGAAAATAAGAAAACTAACCTTCCACATCATCAGGGCTCCCATCATAAAAGGACTAAACACGGTCAGAAAACAATAGATAGAGGCAAGATCAAAGCTAAGGAACCAACATAAAGAGAAAAGATTTTAGAATTCACATTGTAACTTTAAAAGAATGTTTTACTAAAAAGGATGTTTAAACTGACTTTCTGAAAACTACTCTACTAAAACACAAGCTTACACTGTTATCAAGAATATTAAGAGGGCACTTTTAGTGAAGTAGATCTGCGTGTGCCAACACCACCAATCTCCAAAATACGTCCTTTGGGATAAAAAGTATGGTACAGAACAAAAATCTAACTTGTATTATTTTTTATATTTATTTATAAGTTTTTATATAATATTTATATCATATATTTGTATAACTTTATATAATATTTAAGTATGCCGTTTTCATTTAAAATTACCTGTTAACAGAAGCTATGTTCCCAGTTCCAAAAAATGCTGTCACTAGGAAGAAAACCTAAATAGAGTTAAGGAAATGCCAAAACAAGTCGGAATTCATACAAATTTCTCCTTCATTTAGAAAAGATATGTTTATCCTACCATGAAGGTAACTTGGTTTTTAACCTGTACATTTGGTCATAAATCATCGCAAGTGAATGTCCTCGCGAACGAATGTTGAAGGGACCGGACTGAAGAGGCGATTGCCTAAAACCAGGAGGCGTGCGAGGTTACCCCCACTCGTCACTAGCATCTTTGGGAGGGCGTTTTCCAGGTCTCCAACGGAAGCAAGTTGGAGTGTTGTACCTGGAGTTGGCCACTGAGGATTTTTTCAGACGGAGAACAGGGACCCAGTGTGTGTGACAGGCATTTTCAGGTGAAATCTTTTTCAGTTCATGGACGCTCGCCACGCACCCACTGCACTGAAACATGCCAGGTTCTTTGGAAGGCTCAGAAAGAAATAAGATGCCGTGTTCTATAATAACTCTACAGAGAATGAGACGAGGAAATGCTAGACATCTTTTTGTCACTTTTTAAGCTTACATTTGTTTTAGTGCAGTAATAAAAAGTAAGTATTAATCCTATTGGCATCTAAGAACTAACCGCTAGAAAAGCACTTAGATACTGCCTGGTCCACTGAAAGGACTCAATAAATGTTAGCTATTATTATAGACACATACACAAAAGTGGTAAAGAAGCACTGAAGAGGACATATGAATTGTGACAACTTTCAGTGAAAAAGTGGCATTTGAGTTAGTGACTTGAGACTCAAATGTATTCATGGATCTATTCACTCAATCAACTGACCAACAAACATTTATTGTCTAGTAAATGTCAGAGGCAGAGCTAAGCACTACACATATAATTACGAATAAAATAGTCTCAAAGTGCTCACACGGTAACTAAGATTATGACAATATATAGAAGTATATGAGAAGCATTTTAAGGTAAACAGTGGGGAAACAGAAGACAAAGTCAAGACACGTTAACAGGTGTGACAGAAGCTTAGAATTTATTAAAGGATACACTGAAAGACAAAGCAAGATTAGTGGCATATTAATTAACTAATAGATTAGTGGTGTATTAATTAACAGATTAGTGGCATATTAATTAAAAGCCTCCAACTTATCTGTGGAGACAATGACAAGCCTGCAAACATTTTAGGTAAGCAATGCAAATAAGAAATACCAGGGACAATGAGATATTCAGATCAGGGAGATATATAATTATAGGCAGGAAATCCAAATGGGAAGCTTTTTCAGTAGTTCATGTTAGGGGCAGGGAAGGTCGGAGCTGGTGCACTGGGAGCAGAATGAGGGCAGACAGTGGGACTTCAGAACCGGACAAGGAACAGTTAAATATGACAAGGTTGGCGGCCTGGGTGGTTGGGAGTACAGTGATGCCATTCAATGAGATGAAGCCTCCCAGAGACAGACTTTGGAGAAGAGTGGGCAGTTGTTGGTTTCAGACACATATTCGGTGATGCCCAGCAGAATACTGGACATAAGGGTCATGAGGTCAGGAAAGGTCAAGGTTGGAGAAGTAAATCTTAGAGTTGTTTGCATGGAGGTGTCAAAGCTATAGGAGAGGGTAACATTATCCAGACACAGGAAGTAGAGAAAGTTAAGTGTAGAGCTTGGAGAAGAACATCACTCAAAGTCAGACAAAGGAAGAGGAAGTTTTAGTGAAGGAGAATAGAGCTGATGTAAAAGGTATGAAGAGAACCTGGATCATGTCCTGAGAGTCAAGGAAAAAGAAAAAGAGAAGTCAACAGAGTTGAATGTTATAGAATGGTCAAGTAAAACTTAAGACCAGACTGTGCAGTCAGAGCGCCCCTGCAGACCAGTGACGATATAATCTCAGCAGAGACATCCGACAGATCTTCTCGGAGCTACTAGGTGCCAGGCACCACTCTGGGCGTTCTAGGGTTAAGACTATAGTACATAAATGGGGAAGAAATGGCAGCAGCAACTATAGATTTTTCTTTCAAAAAGCTTGGTAGTAAACAGAAAAGACAAGATAAAATTCTACTTTAGGGAGGCGAAGCATTCAGGGGAAGAAGTATTTATTAGTATGGAGTGAGTGGAAGGAGGCTGCAAAGAGAGAGCAAAACTGAGGGCAGAAGCAAGAGGTAGAGAGAGGGAGGGCACCATGGTAAGTTCAAAGGAAATAGTCCCTATGAATTTATTGAAGCTGGTCAGCCAGCCTTCCCAAAGTGAGATTTCATTCTGCCATATTGTCTTTCCAACTTCTAACACTGATAACTTTCACACAATGTTGCCTCTGATGTGATCCAAAAACTTTGTGAGGTAGATGTTATATAACACGAGTATATGTATAGTATATGAGTATACTATACTATATATAGTATAGTATATGAGTATATGTATAGTATATGTATAGTATATGAGTATACTATACATGTATATGGTATAGTATATGAGTATAAAATACACACATAAAATGATACAAACCAAACTCATAACAGTGGGTTCTTCTGGACAAGGGAAATTAGAGTGGAGCTGGGAATTAAAAAAAAAAAATACAACTTAAGCTGTATTGTAATGTTTTAGTTTTTTTTTAATGTGTGACATATATGACAAAATATTCACTTGTTGGTATCTTGGATGGCAGAAATATACACTGTATTAATATCATTCTGTGTGCTTTTCTACAGTTTCAACATTTTTTACAAATGTGAACCATCTGAAGGAAATTCCTGTTGACAGGGGGTTAACCCCCTCCCAGGTGATACCACCATTAAGCAAAAAGTAGAGGCACCCTCTTTCTCCACTAAATGGGAGGTTGCAGCGCCTTAAAGCAAAAGTCCAAACAAAGGATACGAGGAAAAAGGCCCTACGGATGTCATCCAGATGGAGCTGTCGAAACTGGGTTATATCAGTGTTGCAGGTGAACTGGACACTGGTGATCTGGGAGACAATCGCAAATACGTGAACACACAGCAACAGTTCACTTACTTCTACCCTCAAAGGCAAACTTCCTAAGTTACAACAGTTAGCAGGTTATCCGGTAGGACCAAAACAAATAAAGCTGTTCTTACATCTTAGTTACATCTTAATAAAATCTGCCAAAAGGCAGACGACATTGCTAACAATACACCGAGCAGAGCTGGAGTACTGCTGGATGTGTAAGAAATGGGAGATGTGAGCTCTCCTTCTCCCATATGAATAGTTCACTTTCAAATCCCTATATAATTCTTCCCTTTTTGAAATCCTGATTCTTCAGGGTCCTGATCTTCTAAAACCTAAATATGGTATGGTATTAACAAGCATGATAAAAACAAATTATTTCTCTGTTTCTTTGTTGTTCTCTTAATTCTATTTGCAGACAAATTATTTTCTCTCTGTAAAATACAAAATATCTCTATTTTTGGTAAAATTGAAAGTCAATCAATTCCAACAATATGGATGCACTCTTGCTTAATCCCCCTCTTTCTGAAAAAATAAAAACTCATGGGGGAGTTTGAAGGGAGACCTTCCCCATCCTCCACTTCCCATGTAAATTTTCCAGTAAATTCTTTGCATGCTTTAATACTCCTTTATAGAAAAAGAAGTCTCTGTTTTCCATTAAAAAACAGAACTCAAAAAAATGACACAGTAAATGTTACTTTTAAATTTAGTATCTACTTAATATTAATATTTACTATTAAGGACAATCTGACAATTTATTTGAATCTGATCAAAACTGCTTTTCATGTATTATTTTAATATTCCAGGGCTGAAAGTTAAAAACCAGTAATTATTTAATATACTTCAATAAAGTTCCTTTATTGTTGAAATTAATTATTCTAAATTATCAGTTGCTTTCTGTAAACTCAACTGGAACCACTTAGGGAAGGATCAATGGATCAACTGTGAAGGTGCTTTTCTGCAATATTCGTTTTATCTGACCTCAGTCAAACTAAATATTCTGTGACCAATTTCTTATAATTACCTTCAGTTCTAAAATAAAGGCAAGCGACATCAATTTCACTGTATAGCTCAGCATGATAAATGTGTTCTTAAAATTTAGCTGGCTTTTAGCCAATTCAAAGTGTACTGTGTTGAATAAACAGCTCAAGATCTGGACTGAGGCCACAATCACTAAGGCAGCAGAATAAACAATGTGGGACAGGACCACTAGAAAGAGAAAACAACACTGAAAACACAAACGGCACCTTGGGACTAAATTCATGAATTGACTGTGACAATGTTAAATATTCTTGTGACTAAAATAAGTTGAGGGAAGGAAAAATTAGATATGAAAATAGAAGAAAATAAGATCAAGAACATTCTTTCTCCTCTACTCTTTCATCTACGTTGATGTTTTTGTACATCAGTGATTCACAAATAATCTCCCAACCTATTTACTGCCTATAAAACAATAAAATCATGCTTTTCTGTTACATATATATTTATTTACATAAACATTATATAAATATATATATTTCTGCTATATACATATTTCTACGTATATATAGAAATTTTTCCTACAAATTGCTTAATTTTTATTACTAACTTAATTATGACTGCCTTAAATGACAGTCATTAACATTTTTGATGGACTAACACTGCAGCTTCCTTCTAAAACAGAAAATATTTATTCTCAAATAAATGCAACAGTGATTTTGCCCAGGTACCTTCTGTTTACGGGAAACACCGTGTTGCTGCAGGATTTCTTGCTCCACCTGTATCCAGACAAACATTAAACACGACAATACTAATGGAAAGAGAGCTTCGTACCTAAGGAGTGAGGGGTTGGGGGAAGAAGTGGGAGGGGAGGAAAAAAAAGGGAAAAAAAAAATTAAACAAGTAAATATGTAAATATCTGCTGAGAGGTCTTTCTCAAAATTAAAACAACCTTGATAACATATTTAAGTCAGACTATCACAAAATTTAAACTTTCTAGGCTTTCCAGAAGAAGAAAGTGGGAAAGAAAAATTTGAATATCACCTCCAGCATCATCTTTTTTATAATTTATTAAATCTTGATCTCATTACAATTTTAAAATGGTAGATATATTTAGAAATCAGTCATAAGATAAACAACAAATACACAAAGAAGGGTAGAAAAACATTAAGACAAAGGTAAAAAGACAATTCCTGAGTTAAAATCATTAATATACATAGAAGAGCAAGCAAATGTCCCAAATTAAAAAAACAATGGGTGCAATACAGGCATAAATCTCTCAGAAAGAAAAAAAAAAGAGGTAATAAGCACATGAAAATATGTCTGACCTTACTGGTAATTAATTGATATGCAAACTAAAAGAGCAGGAAGATACCGTATTCACTTATCATATTTATCCATTAAAAAAAATGCCAACAAGAGTATAATGAAAACTAACTCTCGTATGCTCTATATGGAAATAAACACGTTCTGGAAGGCAATTCAACATTGTGCATCTATAATCCCCAAAATATGCATATACCGTAATCTAATGATGTCACTTCTAGAAATGTACCCTGAGAAAGTAATACAACACGCTCACTACAATTCTCATATGAGGGCATTTGTTGTAATACTGTTTACAGAAGGAAAAAACAAACGTAGGAAGCAAGCTAGGAAGTGATTCCATAACGTACGGTACATCTCTAGGCTGGTCTAATGTGGACATTATCAGGTGCACAAAAGAGAAATGCTCAGGAGATAAGGCAGTGGCAGAAGTCTTTCCTCATCCTCATCCAGTTTGGATGAGATGGCACACTTAGTTTGGCCATCCCCCAAATATTCTATTATAGTTCTTCTCACACTATTTGAATCCCATGTTCACTGGTGTGTGTTCACGGGTGTGTGTTCACAGGCGTGTGTTCACTGCATGGTCTGTAAAACCTCTACCTGTGCCGCTACTGCAGGCCCAGCTAACAGTAAGTATCTCCTGGGGGAGTTACTTACCCAAGTGAAGTTTCAAAACAAAATCAAACTAACCAAAACAAAACAAAAAACCTTTATTTCTCTCAAATTTTTCACTGAGTGAACTCTAATCCATTTGGCACTATTTCCTAAACATGAAAAAGCAAAAGAAGTAAAACACTTTAAATTCTATTACTGATCATAATAGATAATAGATCAAATAAAACACTGAAGACCAGGCAGAAGGAAGTATTTAGATTTAAGACAGCATACACAAATCACTTGATATATAAGATGCAAAATGCCCAGCTCCCTCTCTCTGTCTTCCTCCACTCATGCTGTCTCTCTCTCAAAAAACAAAATAAATAAATAGATAAAAATAAACATTAAAAAAAATAAAAAGGGGCTCCTGGGTGGCTCAGTTGGTTAAGCATCCGACTTCAGCTCAGGTCATGATCTGGCAGTTCACAGATTAAAGCCCTGTGTCTGGCTCTGTACTGACAGCTCAGAGCCTGGAGCCTGCTTCTGATTCTGTGTCTCCCTCTCTCTGCCCTTCCCCCCCAACCCCTGCTCTAAAAAATAAAATAAAATAAACATTAAAAAGAGATGTAGAATGCCTAAGCATATGAATAGACAATATACACATGGGAAAATATTAGTAAAACAGGTACAGAAAATTATACAAAGCTGTGCCATTTTTGACCTATTAAAATAGCATTTGATGTTCTTATTTAAAAATGAAAACACCAAATACCGTGGAGGATATGATGAACTAGGACCTGTCATAGGTTGTTGGTGATATTATAAACTAGTACTATTCTGAAGACAAAAGTTAAAAAAAAATGTACATACTCCATGGCCCACCTACACTACATATGAGAAATGAAAAAGGGATCTAATCTATGTAGAAAACTTGTATACAAAAACAAAAACAAAAAGAAAACTTGTATACAAAACATAACTCAAAATATTATTTATGATAATATAAAATGGAAATAAATGAAGATCAAAAATAGAGGACCAGCTAAATAAATCAAGGTTTGTCCACATCACAGAATATTAAATATCTACTAAAATGATGGTTAGGAAGCCTATGAGCCACCAGGGAAAATGCTTCTAAAATAATGTTAGGTAGGGGAAAAAAGATGTAAAATAGTTCGTGGACTATGATCAACACCATTTTAAAAAGACAAATACAGAGATAAGACTGGAATAAATATACAAGAAAATCAGCAGGAGGGGTAGCGTTAATAGATTGGAAAGTGACCAAACTGCGATTAATACTATTTTTACAATGACTTTTTAAAAAATGATTGGAAAACAAATGCTGATTTAGAAAGCCCAGATCCCAGCCATCCTTTAGAATGTAGTGCGGCTTCTACATCAGTCCTCAACGGCACCAGTTCAGCTCCCTCTTCAAATTCATTCGCTAGCCGTTCCTTTATATACATTAATTATTTTAAATGTTTATTTATTTATTTTGAGAGAGAGCGAGCATGCGAAGAGGGGTGGGGAGAGATAGAGAGCAAGACAGAGAGAATATCAAGCAGGCTCTGTGCTATCAGCGCAGATCCCAGCGCAGATCCCAGTGCAGCGCAGATCCCAGTGCAGAGCTCCATCCCACGAACAACTGTGAGATCGTGACGTAAACTGAAATCAAGAGCGGGGTGGTTAACCGACTGAGCCCCCAAGGTGCCCCTCACTAGCCACTTCTTTATATTTTATAATCCTCAACCAAATTAAGTCACAGTACCTTCATTGTTGCATTTTGTAATTGCCTAGCACTGCAAAATAAAGTCCTTATTTTACAGCAGCTTACAACTCTATTATGTACCTGGGGTAAGCTAACTGTTCTGCCCGTTTTTCTGTCTAGCGGTCAGGACACTGGAGACGGGAAAGGAAAAACAATTGTTGATTAACTGACTCAAGAGTGTGTATGCTCTAAACAAGAGAGGATCATGATTTCTTAAAATATTTGCAGTTATATAGGGAAGCACTCTTTCCCAATATATGGAAACATAAATATCATAGTTCTGCAAATAGTGCTACAGATTTATTTCCTTTCAGAAACTATAAACTATATATAATCATTTTCATTTGTAAAATATTGATGAATAAATCTGATAAAGACAATCTTCCTCTGGGACTTTATTTCTTCAGACAATCAATATCTTGTATAAAGTCTGCATATCTGAATTAATAAACCGAAATACCAATAAAATGTCATCACGGGCTCAGAGTGTACATAATAAAACCACACGAAATTAGGATCTACTAGTTCGGTCTCTGCAAATTCAACAGAGCAGAAAAGGCATTTAGCTTTGTTTTATAGTTTGTTAAGCAAAGGGATAATATAAATAAAATTTCAGCGGGAAATGTTTAACAAACTTAGGAGAACTACTTTCAAGCATTATGATAGCTTCCATTTGCATAAAAATAATCAAATGCTGATTAAAATGACTCTTCTTTATTCATTAAATCAAGGATACATTGTTAGAACTTAGGATTACTATTACTGTATTTCTGTAAAGTAATAAAACTGCATTTCCTTTAAATATGCTATAATTGTGACTATTCACTACTTTTCACAGAGAACCCTCCAGATAGTCCAAAATAGTAATGTGGAACAATGACAGGTGGACTATTACTTTTGTAAAACCCATCTGACATTGAAAAATGTACTAACCGAAATTGTTAGACTGTGCCGTTTTAGGCTATCGCTGTTGCATTTTTCTGTGCAGGTAAATACACTTTGATGTTGAATAATGTATTTCTTAATACATTCATTTACAAGGTCATACTCATTACTACTGTTCTGATTTTATGTCTGAAATTTTTCTTTTTAGATTTTCTTAAAATAAACTAAATGTGCTTATGGTAATATGTTTTGGTATCTTTGTGACTGTGAAAATTGATGATTTCAAACATTATGAAATATTTTTTTTACTAAAAATCCAACTTTAATCATCCTTTCTTCACTCCTTCCTTTCTAACCAGCAAGCCATATCTATTTCTAGATTTGTTTGTATTTCTTAAATCTTCTACACATTCCTTTACATTTGTTTATTGCTTTAGAATGTGAAGGTTCAAAACAGAAGAGGGATCATTGATTATTAAGTAACTACATAGAAGCTGGCACATATCTCTGGACCCTCTCAAACATATACTTTCTTTTTTAAAAAAAATTTTTAATGTTTATTTATTTTTGAGAAAGACAAATAGACAGACAAAGCATGAGTGGGGAAGGGGCAGAGAGGGAGAGGGAGACATAGAATCTGAAGCAGGCTCCAGGCTCTGAGCTGTCAGCACAGAGCACAGAGCTCAACGTGGGGCTTGAACTCACGAACCATGAGTCATGACCTCAGCCGAAGTCCAATGCTTAACCGACTGAGCCACTCAGGCATTCCTCAAACACATACTTTCTTAAGGCAACCTCTAGGTATGATCTCTTAATGAAACACATGTGAAACCCCATGGGTTAGAATAGAAAGGATTTTACCTTTTGCCTTCTTATCTATACTAAAAACTAATTCATATAAACTTTGATGGATTCTGATTGTAACTAAATTATTTATCCTGAAATTTCACCAACAAAAGGGAAAAGAATGACCAGTTTCAAGGTCACATTATGTTTATCATTTTTGAGTAAACACATGCTAGACTTCAAGTTTAACTTGCAAATTCAAAGTTCTAAGTCTCAAAGCAAGCCCCTCTTAAGATCTTATGAGGTAACTGGTGAAAATTTCCATGTTGCTTATATTACATCTTCACAGCTGTGCTCCAGATCTGGTTATGCAGGGAGAAAGGAAGGCAGGAGGTGTGGGGGGCTCTGGTAAGGGAAGGCTTCGCTCCCCACTGGACAATCTCTTATCTGAGGACTACAAGAACTCCCGGGGCCTAGGTCACTTATCATGTAGAGTCAACTACGAGAAGGTTTTTGAGAACATCCCTCTAATTCTGCATTAGGACAACTGAGTTTCCAAAAGAATAAACCTACGTCTTGAACCCAAATCAGCTTTACAAAATCATCTACACTGGGAATAATCTGTTGAAAGCACAGTGAATCCCTAGGTTTAGTCTACTTGGGATCAAGATCCTATATTTGGGCCAAATTTAACCCAAATAAGTAGTGGTGATTAGAGCTGTCTGTTCTATCGAGTGTTGTTAAAATGTACATATTTACCACCTTCATCAGCACTTATGTAAGGATAAAATAAAATTCAAAGGCAAGTAAAGAATCCTTTCCTTCAAAAGCAGATGGGGCAATGATATCACTATTTCATGGACTTCTAGAGAACACTTCAGGATCCACCCCAAATCAAGCTGCTATTTTTTGGTTTTGTTTTATAAGAAAATTTAAATCTTAAATAAAAATGGGTTCTTTAATTTCTGGGAAAATATTCTGAAAGTTTTTGAATTGAAAGGAGCATTTGTACTATATTATGTAAGACTAAAATTTAAAAAAAAAAACATATTCAAACAAGAACAGACAAATCAAGACATAATTTGAAGTGCATGCAAGTAATGTCACAGAGCTATAATTCTTCCAAGTCGTTGTTTGAGACTTTAAGTTTCTCCAAAATCAACCAGAACTTTTTAAAACCATAGTAGATTGACAGCAACTTCAGGAAACAAACAGAAAGACAAAGACAACGGGCAATACTACGAAAATAAGAAAACAACAGATTTAAACTCAAGTCTCCAAAATCTATAAACAACTTATCTATAAAGAACTCAACACACCCAAAAAACAAATAATCCAGTGAAGAAATGGGCCAAAGACATGAATAGATACTTCTCCAAAGAAGACATCCAGATGGCCAACCGACACATGAAAAAATGGTCAGCAACACTCATCATCAGGGAAATACAGATCAAAACCACAATGAGATGCCATCTCACACCTGTCAGCATGGCTGACATTAACAACTCAGGCAACAACAGATGTTAGTGAGGATGTAGAGAAAGAGGAACTCTTCTGCACTGCGGGTGGGAACGCAAACTGTGCAGCCACTCTGGAAAACAGAATGGAGGGTCCTCAAAAAATTAGAACTACCCTATGACCCAGCAACTGCACTACTAGGTATTTATCCAAGGGATACAGGTATGCTGTTTCGAAGGGGCACACGCACCTCAAATTTTATAGCAGCACTATCAACAATAGCCAAAGTGTGGAAAGAGTCCAAATGTCCATCAACGGAGAAATGGATGTGTTACACACACACACACACACACACACACACACACACACACTCACACACACAGGAGTAATACTCAGCAATCAAAAAGAATGAAATCTTGCCATTTGTGACTACGTGGATGGAACTAGAGGATATTATGCTAAGTGAAATCAGTCAGAGAAAGACAAATATCATATGACTTCACTCACATGAGGACTTTAAGATGAAAAACAAACATAAGGGAAGGGAAGCAAAAATAATATAAAAAAAGGAAGGGGGAGAAAACATAAGAAACTCTTAAATATGGAGAACAGAGGGTGACTGGAGGGGCTGTGGGAGGGGGATGGGCTAAATGGATAAGAGGCATTAAGGAATCTACTCCTGAAATCACTGTTGCACCAAATGCTAACTAACTTGGATGTAAATTTAAAAAAAAAAGAAAGAAAGATCAAGTCATATATAGTTCTTACGAAGCAGAAAATATTTCTAATTTATTCTTCAAGATTTATACATTTTCATTTCCATAGGTAAAATATTCACAGAAAAATGTCCATATCATTTAAAACGTGCTACTAAAAATTAAGTTTCAAAGCCAGTGCCTACCCTGTGCTCAGCAGTATGTAGGTTGACATCGAGGAAAGAAGTATGCTGAACAACCGCTCAAAGAGACTCGTGGGACTCAGCAGGGGCAGGATGAGGGAAGAGGCTGCAATGAAACAAAGGAGGTCAGTGTCAGAACAAAGAGCACAACGAAGGTGAATTCAGAAGCGCTGATCCTACGCTGGTAGCATTTACTGTTTCTGTAACCCGTCAAACAGGCTATACTTGTCCTAACCATTTGTGTAAGAAATTTGAAACTCGAACATTTTTTTAAAGCTTATTAATTAATTTTAGGAGAGAGTCAGAGAGAGAGAGAGAATCTCCTACTTCAGTAGAAGGGCAGCAACACATACACTCCTTGTCTCTCTTTTGGGAAATATTTTGGAAATATGCCGAACTTCCTCATCTCCCTGGTTAGGCAGGCAATATACATGGAGGTGAACGCTCCAGAGTATGGAGACAGATGATTTGATATGAAATCCTGGTTGAATCATTTATTAACTGTTTAATTATGGGGCAAGTTTAGTAACCCATCTAAGTAGTATTCCTATCTGTCAAGTGGAGATGATATAAAAAGTTGTTGTGAGGTTTAAATACAACTCTGCCTATAAAATGCTCCCTGAGCATAGTGCCAGGGATATAGTAGGTGCTTAATAACTGTTAGCTGCTATCATTATTACTAGTCAACATCTACTAATGAGTTAAATATAAAGATAATCTCATTCAAAGTCAAGTCACTTCAAAATGTAAGACTCCGAAAGCTATATTCATAGTGCTCTTAGACAAAGAGCTTCTAATCTTGTTCAGATGTATAGTTGCAATGCTGTTATTATCACCCAGTGCATATTTTAACAAAAAAAATCACATTTTAATATTCCTTATTATAAAAGCCAGTTCAAATGAGACCTCTTCTGTAAAACAATTAAGAATAAATATTCTTTTGAAAAATAAATAAAATACATGCCTAAAGGAACATTTATGTATTTGGAGAAAAGCAATAGACTGAACTGCACCTTCCCAAAACAATGATAAAATCAATAAAGACAACAAATAAAATGATACAAGACATTCCAAATACGGAAAGAAGCACAGAAAATATAGCACAGTTTGCACATAACTACAGCATAAGAAATCATGACAGAATTGAGACCAAGCATTAACAGTCATATTAGTAAACATGAATATTTTCAATTAAAAGAAAAAATTCAAATTGGCATACACAGCAAAACCCAACTCTATACTGAATAAAAAAGAGAGACTTAAAACATAGTGATTCAAAAGACTAAAAATAAAGCAATGGGTCAGACAAACGGAAACAGTAAGAAATTCAAGATTGCAATCCTGATACCAGATAAAGTATATTTCATGCCAATATATAAAATATCATTTATGAATACTGTTGGAAAAAATATTCTCAAATGGACTCTAACATGACATTAAGAAAATAATACATATCAAATGTGTTTATATCAGGAATATCAGCAACAAAGAAGAGGAAGAGGGACACCTCAAGACGTCTTGAGCCACATTCCACAATGATGATGTACAGTAATGAATTTTGCTACAAAGAACACATCAACTACCTACGCAATACAAAACTTACAGGAGATACAAAAAGTAATATGTAGAAACACACTAATAACAGAAAACTGTTAACAGCCCACTCTCAATATAATAGGATAAATTGACAAAATATAAGATTATAAAACCACATAACCAACAGTGTAGATATTCTGGATAGATACCGAATGGTAGATAACAGAGACTATACTTTTCTTCTTAAGTACATATGGAATGTTTTCAAAAACTGATCATACACTAACACACAAAGAAAATATCAGTAGGTTCCTAAAGTTGAAATAGTAAAAACAACAATCTCGGGCACAATTCAATGAAACTAGAGAGTAAAAATAAAATAAAAATTAATGAGATAGTGAATAGAAGCACAGTAGATCAAATTAATAAATCAAAACCCAGGTTCTTTAAGAAAATAAACAAAAAGGACAAACCACTAGCTAAGTTATCAAAGAAAGGGGAAAGTATAAATACACAAATAACTGATGAGGGAAATGTCTAGGGATACAGAAGGAATGGTTTTAAATTGTTAAAAGATTATTCTGCATCCCTCTATGCAAATAAATTTGAAAATCTAGAAGAAATATAGAATTCCTTTGGCAAATATAGCTTCCCAAACCAACCCCAGCAGAAAGAAAAACATGTTACCCTACAGTCAGCTTATTAGTTGCAGCGAAGGGGAGAAACAGTAAATATACAGTCAAAAAACTGGGCAACACCTTGCTAGGGTGATGGGAATTAACATCAACAATGAGGGACAGATAGAGACCAGAAGCCTATAAATGTGACCCTAGGAAGGGCACAGTATCACTTATGCAGTATGCTGGCCAATAATGCATAACCACAATTTAATTACAAAGAAACATCAAATTCAAATTGAGTAACAATCCACTGTGGGGTAGGGGTTGCGGTTGGTTACAGTCTTCAAAAATGTCAATGTCATAAAAGACAAAGAAAGAAAAAAATGCCATGAACATTACTAGGTCAACTGAAAAATTACTATAAGGACGGTAGAATAAAGTACAGAATATGGTCTTCAAAAAATTTTACACATACATATATTCATAAGCACAGATGAGAGACAAGCACTTGAAGTAGACGATGGCTTTCTGTAATTCTGGTAAATGCTCTATTTCTTAAACCTTTTTAGAAGTTTTAGAGATTTAAAAATGAGATATAATGAAATGTGCATAAATTGTGTTTTATTTGCTTCTTGTCTTCACCGTGATTTAGCCCTAGGTGGGTAAGAAAACCAAGGAAGTGAGCCAGGCTGCCCTGTAAAGGAATGAGAGAGAGCTGGGTTGCTACTATGTATATCAGATCCCCTACTCGCCATACATTGTTTCTGCTGGTATGTGCCATGATTGTGTATTTGTAAAGTTATACACTATGACAGAAAGACTTCCCTTTAATATTACAGTTCTCATTCAGAGTTTTTGTTTTTTCTGGGGATTTAAAAACTGATGTGTCCTATGAGAAAGATCATTACTTATAAGTCACTACCCTAGAATGTTAGCCACCCTTTCCTTGCAGAATATAAACTCCAGGAGGGCAGGGATTTGGTCTACCTTTATTATTCTCAGGGAACAGAACAGTACACATTTTTTTTTTTTTTTTTTGTAATGAAGGAGCAGTCATTGATATTGTTCATGTAGAATGAATATAAATAGTAACTATATTAAATCAAGGTAATTGAAGGCCTGCAGAATGCCTTTCATCCACTTTAAGGTAAATTCCATCCAAAGAGTAAACAACAAAAATCATTTAAAAAAATAGATTAAATTGCATGCCACATTATTCACAGGTATCACAAAGTGTCTTTTTTTTTTTTTTTTTTTTTAAATAAAAAACCTGGACATCAGGCTTGCCCGGGGCTTCTAGTTGCAAGAAAAACCCTAGGTCATTAAATTACATGTTTCCTCCACACGCACATTTTGGGATCCTTTAAGTAAAGGTACTATAGAGGAATGTGTTTTGAAATTTTAAACTGGCTTTATAAAATGTGTAATGTGTTAGGAGGTGACTGATTGATGTTATCTTCAGTAAGGGAAATACAGATAAAATCGAACTGTTTCTTAGTCCCTGTGCAAGGATGGAGAATTTATGAACTGACATGAAATTTCACAGTAAGAATCTCTTCTCTTCTAGAATCGCTAGAGTTTTATCAGATGTGAATAAATGTATACCTTTATCAGGCCAATAATATTCTATCAAGTAATTCTTATTAACACTTCAACGGAGACAAAAGCTCTAATTGTCTTTGTCAAATTCCGGCATAAGATAAAAATAATAGCTGGTTATTATTTTCATTCAACAAAATTATTTCTTTCAATACCAATAATACAGATGTAAATGGATAATTTTAAGGCATGACTTGATGTAACATTAACTCATTTAATTTGACCCCTTACCTAATATTATCCAGCTAATGATCTGGTTAAGAAGAGGCAATCCTTGTTTCTTGAGTAGACTATTATGGGTGCTATACATGACACACATAGAAAGCGCTATGCACAGCATCTGAAAATAAATACAAACACGTAAAGAGAAGGTGGTGAGACACTAATTTATACTTAGGAAAGTGCTTCAACAACTGGAATATATAGCCCCAAAGCTACTGAAATTGGACCAGCTCACCCTCTTGCAGCAAGGCTACAAGTTAGAACTCTTGTACTAAGCAGAAGCCCTCCTTTCTAAGCATGAAATGAGGCATTTTACAAGTTCAACAATAGTTTAGTATATGTGATCACACTGTATCTATTTAGAAATATTCATTATTAACTCCGAAGATTTCCTAAATCCTTGAAATGCAGACAGTACAATGTGGCTAAGTGTCTTCCGCCCCTGGCCTTCGCCCAGTCACATCCACTGACCCAACACATATTTGTGGCCTGAGTGTTCACCTGGTACTGGGAACACCAGGAGGTACACCACTCTTCAGGGGGTAGACAGAAACTGGTGGAGAACTGGTAACTCTAGCTTGCAGGCTGTTTTCAGAAATACTGTTTGGTTGGAATACGGTCACTCTCATTCATTTATGTGTCATCCGCATAAATGCACTACAGTGGCAGAGTGGAGAATTTACAAGACTCCATATGACCCACGAGCCTAAAATATTTACATATGGCTCTTCAGAAAATGGTTCTCTGTAGAAAATTTCTAAACTAGAGGATTAAATGCCATTTGAAGAAATGACATTAGCTCCAGCTGTGAAAAAAGTAAACTCTTAAGACACGAGATTAGCAAACACCTCACCAATCCTTGAGATACATTTCATTTCTCTTATATTTTCAGCGAATTTAGAAAAAAAATGCTGTCGATAAAGTTATGACCAATCCTAGAATCCTTTCAATTGTAAGATGCATTCTCATGTCAGAGATGTTAAAATATTAAAAGATATGTGTCTTGGAATCACCAAAAATATGCTCTACAATAGAACAATTAATGCAAATTAATAAAGTTAACATAAAAAAGAAATTTCACAACAAATTTACCTTATATTCAGGGCTATTTATAAAAAGAAAAAAAAAAGCCCCTAAGAATTTTAACATGATATTTGCCCCTATAGAGTGGGATCCAGAACATTCACTTCTGTCAAAGTATTCATAATTATATGTGAATTCTGTCAAAGTTCCCTATGGGCTTTAGTGTAATGCCAGTCAGTGAACCATTTAAAATGAAATACATGTTCCAATGTCTTGACAGGACATCTGACAAAATATTTCTTCTCTTTTTACAGGTTTTCTGTTGTTCTCAAGAATAAATTAACATCTTTTAAGTGTTCTCTATTTTTATTTTAGAGTATTCTTGGCTTTCTTTTCTATCATCCTAAGCTTTGTTCTGAGGAAATTTTGTGAGAAAACTCCTGTATGTTTTCCTTTGTCAGTGCTCTGGATGTGACTTTTAATTTTTTTTTCTTTTAGTGATTAAAAAAACAAACAAGTGGTTTCCATGCTTATATATAAAACAGCTATCATTTTACAGAATATGGCATTCTATATTCTCTAATTTCCGCAACCCTACATTAGATAGTATCTCTACAGATTAAAAACAAACAGAATGAAGCTAAACAGTCTGAAAATCACACATCTAGTATACAGTATAACTAGCTGGGAATTGACTCAGTTTTGAAACATCAAGTTCAAAGTTCTTTTCACCACAGCAAAGCCAGCGATCGACTTTCTCCTGGCACATCATCTGAAGTCTTAAACGGACTATTTTTCATGCAAACATACTCAGAGGCGGCTCTCACTTCAAAGACTACCTCTTTCCTGACTCAGGTAAGAGCAACACAGAATCTCAATCCAAAGGAGGCCCTTTACAATTCAACTTTTTGGTCAGTACAAATGCCTCTGATGTCTCCTTAACCTGTGTTTTCCTGGCCTCTCTGGGCTGCCTCCTGCTGAACTTTTTGCTATTCCATACCTTTTAGAGAATGTACTTCCACATAATATCTTACATGGAAAACATTCTTCCCAACTGGCAGATACTGAGTCACGTAAACATGATGGCATCTAAAGAACAACATCATTAAATACAAGCATAAGATATATTTTGGTCTATCATGAGCATGACATGGTGTTGAAAATCTGTAACTGACCTGAAATAGATGTAACAATAGCTCTTCATTCATAAAACTGTCTTTTCTTTTTATGAGAGATGTTAAAACACACAGAGACAGCAGAAGAACCAGCAAGCCTGCAACCATTCTGTTTTAAAACACAATTCACAATTTCAAATTTTCTTGAGATGTTTACTGAACACATATCATGTAAAAACTTTTTACTCTAATGTAGGCCCTCCACATCAGTCGTTTGGTTTTATCAAGATGAAACAGATATAACAGGAATTAAAATCTGAGAGTGAAGCTACACTAGGGATGGGGTTATTTTTAACTTCTCACTATTTTTTAGGTATCTTTACCATATTCCTTGACTTTGATTTTTTAGACTTTTGTGCATTCCAGCCACCACAATTCTTAGCCTGACTTGGACCAGTTTACAGAAAACAATATAAAAAATAAACATATCAGTATTTACAATATAAACTTTCTGACTACGAGCACTTACTCATACCAAAAGGATCAACATTTCTAATCCCTAGTGGTGCTGGTAGAACGAAATGGTTCTATCATTAATCTTTAGTCAGCTGCTCCTGGGTAAAGGAAGGGTAGGACAGAGGTCACAAAGGTAGCATGCAGGTGAGGCACTTGTACAGTAAGGAAACGATAAATTATACTTTTTCAAGAACACCAGGTATGGTAGAGTTCGGTTCCTGAAGCTGAAAGAAACTGACATCAAGGAAATGGTGTACTAATGTTGAGTTCTAAATCTCCCCTCCTAAAAATCTGAGTAACATAGGACAACTGAAATTAGGTTGAGGACAGAATCTGGAGGCAGTAAGAGAAAAGGAGTTGGTTAAAGAGAAATAAGAAAGAGCAGAAAGCAGGGCTAAAAATGAATGCAAAGCAGGAATTCCTAGGAGAATGCTTGCTTGTTTTTGTTTGATTCTTTGAAAACTGTAAGGAGAAAAAGCAGTTAGCCATTCAGCATGGATTACCATTACACCTTATGAAAATAGCCATCTATGATCAAGATACTTTGTTTGCTTTTGCTTTTTCTAAAAATAATTTGGTATTTTAATTCATTGGCAAATATGGCTTTATTTTAGAGGACTTTAGAGGAATATTATAGCCATGCTATTTTTTGCTTTTAATTTTATCCTTATATGTTTCACATATCTATCCTTTCGGCTTCTAAAGAAGGGAGGTAATGTGAGAGATCAAAAGGAGAGTAGAAATTTCTTCATGAGCCAGGAGTCAAAATAAAGAAGTTGCAAATATAGCTACTAGAACAGCAACACAAACTTAAATCACTGAAGAATTTAAATTAAGATGCAGAGAGAGAGAAAACATAATTTTTAAAAATACAAATTAGATTTCTCGTGTTTTAACAAGTTTGCCTCCTGAATTCATCTTTAGTAAAATATGCAAGTGGCAACTTTCCATGGAGACCATTTATATAATCTCTTCTCTTAGCATATGAAAACTGCTCAACTGTGTCACCACTGCTTGAGCAGGACAGAAAGGCAGAGACTGACCAAAGCGGGGAAAGGGACTTTGTAAAGACAACAGGAGAGCTCATAAGAAATATGAGGCGAAAAATAAATGAAAATATTTGAACTCATCTTCTCACAGTTTATTATAGTTTATGACAGATGGAAAATATTTTCACTTAGTAACACTTATTAATAAAGTATGGCTAGGAAGGTCTTAGAATTCAATACAATTTATTTTGGGCTCTGCTAATAAATCAACTTTCTGGAATAATTCTGATTCCATGCTGGTACTTCACAGAAAAGAGATAAATATGTGTTAACTGATAAATAACACATACTCAAAAATTAACACCTACTTTAAAAATATCAATTGGTTAATATTTCTTTGGTCAAAAAAAGATATACCACATCTATTAAAGATTACAGTAAAATGCTACAAAGAATTGTTTATACAGAGTTCAAAAGAAAGTAACAGATGGGCGCCTGGGTGGCTCAGTTGAGCCTCCGACTTTGGGTCAGGTCATGATCTCACAGTTCGTGAGTTTGAGCCCCACGTCAGGCTCCGTGACTGCTTTGGATTCTGTGTCTCCGTCTCTCTCTGCCCCTCCCCTTCTTGCTCGCTCTCTCTTCTCTCTCAAAAATAAACATTTAAAAAAAAGTAACAGAGATGATTATTTTTTTTAATTTAAAAAAAAATTTTTTTTAATGTTTTATTTATTTCTAGGGGGGAGAGAGAGAGAGAGAGAGAGTGTGAGCAGGGTAGGGTCAGAGAGAGAGGGAGTCACAGACTGAAACAGGCTCCAGGCTCTGAGCTGGCAGTCAGCACAGAGCCTGACGCAGGGCTCGAACCCACAAACCGCGAGATCATGACCTAAGCGAAAGTCGGACGCTTAACCGACTAAGCCACCCAGGTGCCCCAGTAACAGAGATGATTATATGATTAGAAAATGAGAGGGACTCTTACATGAAATAAAGATCATTCAGCTTGCCGAGGACACACATGCGTACGTGTGAGCGTGCACACACACACACACACACACACACACAGTCAGTGTAAGTGATTAAACATGGTAAAGCTGTCAAAGTACAGAGCTTCCTCCCCCTAGCGATCATTAAATGCAGATTAGGAGAGAATTTCATTTTTGTAAGACATTTAAAGTTTGGACATGCTCAAAGGCAAAGACAGAGGTTATATTAGTGGCTTTTAGATGTTCTCATTTTTGGCAAGTGAATATTTTTCATATGAAACCTTTTACTGATTCCTCAATATACAAAAGTCTCTAGACACTTATTTTTTGGCATTTTAAGTTATCACTGTTTGGCCCAATTTCATTTTTTTGAAGGCCCAGAAGCATCTCCAGGGAGCTTTAATGCTTCTCAGAGCCTGGGCCAAAATTATGACTAATGGTCTCATATTAGTATTTTAACTTTTGGTTTATTCACTAGTTTATTTTGAAACTCATGACCAATATTAGGTCCATATTTCATAGTGCTTGAGAAAAACAATTATATTGAAAAGAAAAGAAAATATTGTTCATACACTAGAAGGATATCTGGCTTTCGTCCTACAACGGGCATCAGTGGGAACACTGCCAGGAGCAAAGAGAAGAAAATCCAGCTCAGTGAGATGCTCTAAAATAAATAAAAAAGTTATCTTTAGACAAATATGGTGAAGAAAACGATCTTTGGTGTTTCATAGACTGCACGGCTGTAAAGATTATATATAAAGTTCTATAGCTATTTAAAAATAATATAGTTACGGGGTGCCTGGGTGGCTCAGTCGGGTAAGCGTCCGACTTCGGCCCAGGTCATGATCTCACAGTTCGTGGATTCGAGCCCCGCGTCAGGCTCTGTGCTGACAGCTAGCTCAGAGCCTGAAGCCTGTCTTCGGATTCTGTGACTCCCTCTGTCTTTGACCCTCCCCTGCTCATGCTCTCTCTATCTCTCCATCAAAAATAAATAAAAAACATTAAAAAATTAAAAATTAAAAATTAAAAAAAAATAATATAGTTACTACTGGTGAGAGATCTGTTAATAGTAGGTACTGTATTAAATAAAGTCTCACAAAAACCTCAAGAGGTGGCTTATATTTCTCACAATATTTCAGATGAGGAAACTGAGCTCAGAGATGTGAAAGTGTTAAGTAAAGTACCAGGTCTACGACTAGTAAATGAAACAGCCAGGATTGAAATCTGGGTCATATTTCATAGCAAGTACTTCCATCAATTTACGTTATACCATACACTGATAACATCTATAAGAAAGCTGCAAGGGATGGAGTTCAGGAGGGAAAGAAGTCAAAATATGTTTGTAATTAGAGTAAGACAAAAAAAATATTAATAATGCCATTATTTGAAGAATCCTGTAAGTTCTCATAGGGTGGAAAGAAGATATTTCTATCTACCTGCTACCTCCATCAGAAATAATCAAAGTGGAAACATGAGCCTATTCTCAGGGCGAGGAGACTTGGGTTCAGAGCACTACCTCCAAAACCATTGCCTTGCTCTGGACGATATCATCATTTAGATATTTGAAGCTACCAGAATCTGGGAAGTGATTCAGAGAAGGACGTACCAGGTCTGCATCTAGAGTATTTCAATCACCACATGACCAATTCACTTTGGTGTGAAAGTCTATGTGAATCACTGAAACACTGAAGGCAACCTCAGTCCTCCTGTCAAAAGGACCAGGCTCTTTATGTAAGGACACATTCTACCCTTTCCTTTAAAAATGAACAATTCCTTGAGTTAAACACATATCAAATAAAGTAGCTACTAATCCATCTAATGTCAAAACAAGTACTTATACCTTTGCTCGGGTCCACAGCTGGGTGATAAATGGCCAACCCGCAAATGCAAGAAGTCCGGCTGTAAGCATGTAGCGGTAGAAAAAACTGAGAACCTAGTAATGCATTCCAAAGGAGAAATGAAAAATGAGGTCACTTATAAGGAGTTACATATGTATGAAAGAGATCTGAAAATGCTGTAATGTGGTAAATTACTCACTAATATTTCAATTCCCAGGGTAAAGACTAACAGGTATCCAACAAAATGACTTGGAGGAAAGGTCAATAGTAATGTGACAAAGTCTTGAATAACTTGAAACCTGTTTAACAAGATCATTTATAAAAATATTATTTATACTATATATTGAACAAAAAAAATGAGGTCCTATATGATAAAAAAAGATAAATATAAACCTAGAAATCAGGGAATTTTCAATTCATAGGTTATTCAAAAACTAATATAATCTCTAACAGATTTCTTTCAATGGCTTCACTTACCTAAATCTTTTTGAAACCTAGAAGTATTTTAGGAAAAAGTGTAATTTCTGAATTAAGTTGATAGTGATCACAAAAATCTGTTTTTAAAAAATAAATATTAATGATAAATGTTTGATTTTAGCTCAAACATGAGTACATACAAGTATAGATACATAATCAGAAATAAAATACAATGAACCCAAAGGATAAAAACTGGAAAAAATTTTAAATCCACCACGGTTAATTTGATGTTGAAATCTCAACTGCTTTAATAAAATAAACATAAGTTTTCCTAATCTAGTGAGTGAAAAATATTTTATTTTTTACTTTTTTTAATGTTTGTTTATTTTGAGAGAGACAGAGTGCAAGTTGGGGAGGGGCAGAGAGGGAGGGAAACACCGAATCTGAAGTAGGCTCCAGGCTCTGAGCTGTCATCTTAAAGCCTGATGCAGGGCTTGCCTGAACCCACGAACCATGAGATCATGACCTGAGCCAAAGTCGGACACTTAACTGACTGAGCTACTCAGGGTCCCAAGAAAAATTTTTTTTAATGTTTATTTATTTTTGAGAGAGAGAGAGAGAGAGAGAGAGAGAGAGAGACAGAGCGTGAGTGGGGAGGGGCAGAGAGAGAGACAGAAGCTGAAGCAGGCTCCAGCCTCTGAGCTGTCAGCACAACGTCCAACACAGGGCTTGAACTCACTAACCGCGAGATCATGACCTGAGCCGAAGTTGAATGCTTAAGAGACTGAGCCACCCAAGCGCCCCAGTAGAGAAAATTTTAATTGCACTTCTTACTGAGCTAAATAACCTTTTCCAACCCCAATTTAAGATGTCACTAATTATACACTTATTGTAATTAAATGTGAATCCATAACCATTAAAAATGTATCACATACTTGAGTACGTTTTGCATTTCATCACTAGAAAAAAAATTTTTAGCATTTGTAGTGATTAAGTAGGTAGTTATAAAAGGTCAGTATCATTTGGTTTATGATCTTTTTCTGATTGAAAACAATGGCCACATAATGTTATCAAAACTACTAAGGTGCCATGTAGGAAAGAAACGCTGCCACCAGTCAAGAGGAGAATGTTTCTTTTGTTCTCAACAGTTGAATAAGCACAAAAAAACAAGAGATGATTTTGTAAAATCATTTGGAAGACTTTACAAGAAGATTTTAGAAGGAAAGTGAATGTTTACGTTTTATTTTCTAATAAGGTAAAGATAGAACACAGCATACATTCAAAATCACATTTCCTCTTAAAGTTTAAACAGATAAGTCACCTTCAGAATTAGGACATTTAATAATTCAGGAGGATTCAGTAGTAGAATAGAAGTTTCTGCACAGATACAACTTTTCATTCTAAAAGTTTTTAAATCAGAGTAAATGACATTAGAAAAACTCTGACTTAAGTATGTCTATCCAGCAATCCCGTCCCTTTCAAATGGAGAAGCAACACTATATTCTTCTGATAGTGCCCTTTTGCCTTATACTTCTAAATGTTATATTTTAATTTTGGTATTTTTAATATTTTAGTGCTTTTTAATACTTAAGGATGGAAGGTGTGGTCATCTCCGGAGCTAACAAAAATTAGAATGAAAATACATATTGTGTCATGACAAACATGCTGGCCAACCCGGAAAATATCCTTAATTCCGAGCTCTCATTCCCTGGTCTGCTTTCTGGGTCTGGTTTTGCTCAGGGGATGCTTGGATGCCCAAGCCTAAGTCCAAATTCCAGATTACTGGAGCAAATGTAGAAATCAACAAGATGGGCAACGTGGCCCTCGCTGCCTATGAATGTGAACGAGCCCAATGGTTAAGTGGTTTTACATTAAACCACTTGAAACTCGCCTGGGAGCCCTGCCTCTGATGTCTTCCACAGCGGTAAGAGCCCATTTTCCTCCCAGCTTGTGAGGAGGCACTTGAAGGAGGAACCACAGCACATGTGAACAGTATCCGCCACTCTCTGTATGTTCACACTACTCGTGTGGATTTCATTACAAACTCCCATTTATCTAGGTTTACACGATAGCTGGGAAAGGAAGGGCAAAAATGTGTGGAAAGAAAACATGCAAACTTCCTTGTGAAACATGAAGATACACTGGACTCTGAGATGATGGGACAAATTCAAAAGATAAGTTCCTCCTGGCATCGGGCCATCAATATGACTCTATTTTTAGTCCAGATGTTTCTTAGGAAAGATACACAAAGGAGGGAGCGAGGTCAATACAACCTCACGGCAATGAGGATGAAGTCCAAAGGCAATGGTACAAGAAGACGTTTTCATCCCACTTTCCTTCTGCTATCAGTGAAGTGAGAGGGCTCAGAAATTGGAGGGTATTATAAATATCTCTCTGATGGTTTATGCTACAGAAATCTAATCCACTCTAAATACAGATTTCACCGTCAGTGAAGTGCAAAATAAGGCAGCATGGCATGTTACTTACTCTCTTAGAACCGCATACCATATTGGCACTGGCAACAAACAATATATGTAATAAGTCCATGGACAGTCTTGAAGCAGCAGGAAAAATGCTACAAAAACACCAATAGCTATAAAACTACATGACAGGAGGTGGCTTGGTTTCTGAAAATCAAACAGAACATTGAAACACTTCTAAATTTGTGCTAATTGACAGGTTTTTAAAAGAGATTTTATAAAGTGAAGACATATATTACACGATTAATTGAAGAACTGCATTAAAAAAAATCTGTCATTGGAGAAGCATCATTACAGGAAGAAAAAACTGGCTATTCTGGAATCGTTGCTATTACGCGACTCTCAATTTAAAAATAACCATGTTCCTTAAGTTTGTCTGCAAGTACCTTGTTTGGAACTCTGAACATTATTTCTCCTTAGTAACAATCTTATAAATGTTGATCGAGCTCCCTCACTAGCTCACAAAAGCCCATTTAATCCACAATAAACTGCGGGACTTCATCTTCACTTGGAACAATGCTTCTATCTATTCAAACTCCAACTTGACATGCTGCCCATGCTTCGCTCTCCATTGCCCAACCACAGTGTGTTCATTCAGTCATATCTTCTCTTCCCAACCACCTGCGGAACAGGAAAGGAGTTCCTCAGTGTAAGTCACGAGTTATGGTCTCCATGGGCCGTGCATGCCTGTGGGTGCTCTGGGCCAGGAGTAATGAAGGAAGGGATAGACATTCCAATGATTGGAAAAAGACATACCTATGGAAAGCTGTGATGCTAACAACAACACCAGAGGAAAAACACAGGAATGGAGGGGAATGGTGTTCTCTTTTCTCTGTCCCTTGTTTTGTCTGTTTTCCTCTTGCTTTGCTAGCCAAAGCTAAATAAGGTGAGAATTAAGAATTACTCACTGTAGTAGAAGCATTGTGGGGGAGAGAGACAAGAGGGGTTTTTTTCCTCTTTACAATTCCTCCTTACTGGCATAAAATGTCACCAGAAAGGCAGTAAAAAACAAGGATAAACTAGGACATAGTTGTAAAAAAGAAGGTAAGACACAGCAATGTGATTAAGAGTTTAGAACTACACAGATCAGAATTCAAATTCTGGTTCAGTCACTTGCTCAGTGTGCAACCATACACAACCAGGGACAAAGTACAAAACCATACTGAGGCTTAATTTCATCCCATTTATAAAATGGAAGTAATAATTATGTATCTATTTATCAAGGTTGGTAATGCTTACATGAGATTATGTAGAGCTTAAGAAAATGCCTGGAATATTATTATAGCTTCATCAATAATGGCTGCTATTATTATTACCTTCATTTTTATTCTCTCCTCCCCTACTTCTCAGCATTAGCCCCAGCAGGTGCTATAGAAACTTAAAGGTGAATAGCACTGGAGATGTGTGAGACAGCAATGGACATCCCATATCAAGGGGCAAATCTCAGACAGATGTGGAGAGATGAGGTCCCTAAAGCTTAAGGTGGCCGAGGCATGTATTCATCATTTAAGAAGTGAGACTGGGTTCACATCATATTGAGAAGAGTAAAATAATAAAGGAAGTTTGAAAGAGTACATAATGGGGCGCCTGGGTAGCTCAGCTGGTTAAGCATCCAACTCTTGTGTTCGACTCCGGTCATGATCTTACAGTTTCATGAGTTCAAGCCCTGCATCAGGCTCTGTGTTGGCAGTGCAGAGCCTGCTTGGGATTCTCTTTCTCCCTCTCTCTGCCCCTTCCCCACTTGTGCTGTCTCTGTCTCTTTCAAAATAAATAAATAAACTTAAAAAAAAAAGAGTACCTAAAAATACATTCGAGGGATTTTCCAGTCAGTATCATATGGTATAATAATCTAATCATTTGATACCTAAAATACACATTATCAATGATATCCACTCATAGGAAATGAAATCATAAGGAATTCAGCTGAAATAAGATTGAAAGGCTTTTTTTAAAAGCTTATTTACTTTGTGTGTGTGTGAGAGAGAGAGAGAGAGAGCCGCCAGTGCATAAAATGGCGGGAGCAGAAAGAGAGGGAGAGAATCCCACGCAGACTGCATGCTTTCAGCACAGAGCTCAAAGCAGGGCTTGATCCCATCAACTGTGAGATCATGACCTGAGCCAAAATCAAGAGTCGGATACTTAACCAACTGAGGCACCCAGGTGCCCCAAAAGACTTTTAAATAATAAGAGCGGGGGACACTGTCTACTTCATGAGTTGACTCCCCACCTTCCCTTAGACCCTCAAAAAACACCCAATGATAACAAACTGTGCTGGTGCGCTACGCTGACTCTTCCTTCCAACAAGCACTCACTAAACCGCACACTCTGGGTCTGCTCTGTACCAGGTGCTGGCCTCCACGGAGTTCAACCCGCACGGGCTGACATGGAATCATGAGACTGGGTTTAAGGGGTTAATATTTGGGGATTTGATTAGGTGATAAGAAAATAAAGGAAAACATGTGACAAAATAAGGGTACTTAGTTCTAAAGCAAGTAACACCTGAACTGGCCAAAGCAAAGGAGAAGAGTATGTAGACGTTACATGCAGAATACAATTAAGAGGAGCTGTAGCAAAGTATATTTAAAGAAAAGAAAATATTCACCGTCGGTAATGGTGATGAAATAGAAATGACCTGGATAATTTGAGTGACATCATCTTGAAAAAGTGACATATTTTGGAGTCAGACATAAATTTAATTCAAAGGCTTTCTTCCATTTGCTCATCAATTTGACTAACCCATTTAGCTTGTCTACAACTCTGTTTCCTCCCGTGGCAATGAGGACAGTGTATGCTGCAAGCCCCCTGCTCCCTCTGCCAGAGGCCCTCTCTATTGCAGGCATACCAGTGACCTGTGGCTCTTTCAGGCCAAGCTACCTCTCTCCTCTCCTGGCGCCTGCCGTGGTCTCTGTGCATCACCTTCCTTTCTTCTACTGAGTTTTCCTACTCACCCTTTAAGACTTCACTTTGGCAACAACCTCCCAGCAAAGTCTCCCGGTACCCCACCCACAAGCGCTGCACTCCCCACATGCATGGCTGTGGTCATCTTACCTCTGAACTGCTCTCCATGCCTCCCTTAAGACTACTGACCACTGGCATTTTAGTTTTCTTTCAGAACTGTTCAGGTTCTGAAGAAGAATCAGAATGTTTTGTAAACAGAACCAGAGGGTTCAAAAAAATTTAATAACCTCAACTGTAATGGTCAGTTTGTAATGGTCAAAACTGACACGATGGTCAGTTCTAGGCCAGGCTAGGCGATAGTGCCCAGGTCCTCAAACACAGATCTAGGTGTTGCTGTGAAAGTATCTTGGAGATGGGATCAAAGTCTACAATCAGCTGATTTTAAGTACAGTAGATTATCCAAGGTCACTGGGATGGGCCTGATTCAATCAGTTGAAAATCCTGAAGAGCGCAATGGTGGCTTCCCTATACAATGAAGCACAGCTACTGAGTGCAGCTTCAGGTCCCGCCTGCTGGCTGGCCCTCCTCACGGCCTGACCTGTGGGCGAGGACTTCCCTAACTAGCCCCCACAATCACATAAGCCATTTCCTTACACTAAATCTCCTAATACATAGATCCCACCAGTTTAACTCTGGTTTAACTCTAAGTGATATACCAATTCCTCACAAAATAAAGTTTAAAATCTGTAGTCTAGCATTTGAGGTCTTTGATTACTTCAGCCTAATCTACACTGTTGATATAGTCTCCTATTAAGTCCCTTGAACAAACCTTCCACATTCTCTCTAAATTGAACTTTTCATTTCAAAAGCAGTATGGTGTACAGAAAGAGCATGAATTTAAGTGTCGGCAAAGATTAGTTCTGTCATTTCATAACAGTGTGTCTTTGAAGAAACCATGTATCTCTCTGAGCCTAAATTCCCCTATTTATATTATGAGAATCATAACCACCAGATTTAAGGTAGTGTTAAGCTTAACTGAATAATGCATGCAAAGCACCCAACATAGTCCTGGGATAGTGGGGATCAATAAATCTTACTTATTATCCCAGCATAATAATACATTTCCCCAACTCTGCCTCTGTTTAGATCATTCAATCTGCTTCACTTCTTATCCTCTCCCAGTAGTTGTTAATTTTCTACCCAGACTTACTTTTTCCTGTTATCATCACCCTCGCTAAAGTGAGCTCTCCTTTATTAAATATATATCACAAACACAATATACATTAAAGTTGCTAAATGTTAAAGCTGTCTTTTGCAAGGTAGTGTAGCATAGCAACCTACATCTGATAAGGTGGTTATGTGTGTACCTCTCTTACCTACTTTACTTAACTCTAAGCTCCTTGAGGGCAGAATCTAGATTTTATATTTCTTTGTAAGGCTACACAGTAGTTAGCATTATACTGTACATCCAATTAAACATTCACTGCATTATTAGATTAATGAATAAAGGAGAATTGCCAGCTATGAAATTGTGTTGACTCATCAATCTAAAGACTTCATATCTTTTCTCAACAACCAAAACAGAAAGATAAACATGAAAAGACAATGTTTGTCACAAGTCTGTTCTGGATTCAAATCTCAATTCCTCCACAGCCTAGCTCAGTGGCCTTATGCAAAGTAATTAAACAGCTTTGGTTTGCTCTTTTGTAAAAAGAAATTATAATGCTTGCTTTCAGCACTGTTATGAGTTTAAAATGACAAAATAAACTCCAAGCACCTGGCAGAATGCCATTACTAAAACGTGGTTGGTTCTGTCTCTCTTTTACCATGTTAAAAATTATCCCTGTTCTAGCCAATTTTACACACATTCAAATAATGAAAATTACTTGGTGGGAATTATTTAAGATGCATTAAAGCACTATAAAAATTGAAATAAACACCACTGTTCTTCCTTTCATTACAGAAAAATAAAATATAAAATTAGAAAAAGTTACCACTGGAAATTTTTGCAAACGATTATTATCAATAAATATACCATCCTGATTATATTGCCTTTTAGAAGATTTGGACATGGTAGTAATTATTAGAGATAATGAAGTGAAGAAAATGGAAGTAGCATATTCTCCCTAATAAGTGAGAATTAGCAATATATGTTAAAAGAATAAAGTGTTTTAATGTAGTAAAACCACATATGTATGGTTATGATTTACTCAGTTATATAAGTACTATTAAAGTTTTTGAGGGTTTTTATTTTTTGCATTGAAAGTATAGTAAACTAGAGACTGATTCTTAAAATGAAGATAAATAGAAAGTTCTGAAAATTTGCATTAGAAATTCCAGAAAGTTGAAAGAAGGTAAGAATAGTTCCAGAAAAGCACATACATTATTTAAAAAGGGACATTTTGAGTAATTGATTTTATCACTTTCTAGCTACTAAACTTTTAATATCAGATAAAGTTAAATATATTGCTTTGAAGTAGTTTCCTGACCACCTATAGTAGAAAGATATGGGATGCTTATAACATGCTAAATAATTATTAAAAGGAACAGAAAATGAATAGTTAATGCCCTAGGAAAATTTAAATTATACAGCTATCTTTATAGCCCTCTTAAGTTATGGGGCCATTATTATTAATACACCCTTTCCCTAACCAGAGAAATAAAGATAACGGAGAAAAAAAGACCCAATATGACAAAAGCAAATGAAAGCTAAGAGTTGGCTTAGAACAACTTGCACACTGTATGAACTCCTTACAGTTGATGTGATTCAATTTTTCTCCAGTCCTAGTGATTTAACACCATTATCTGAACTTCCTTATATTTTCTGGACGTACCTTAACTTCTTGACTGACACCTCTAGTAAGGTTAAAATGAGACTTGATGATCAACAAAGAAGCATAAGATGTCCATCCGACAAAACCAAGAACAACATTGATGCCCAAGAAGAATCTGTCGTAAGTGTGATAATAGGACAAGCCTTTCAGTGCGAGACGAATCAGCTCCTTGCAAAGGGAGACCTACGGAGAAAGGAAGACGTAACTTGCCACATGGTAAGAATAGAAAACCTAAGTTTTAAAGGAAGGAAAATTACTAAAATTAGAGTGCATAACTGCAGATGATGGATCAAGAACAGATTTTAATTATTCGAGGATCTTCTTTCAAAATACAAGAACAATTCCTGGATAGAATGAATTTTGAATCTGCATAAAAAAGGGCGTTTAAGATGTAAACTACGATATGGGCAGTGATTTAAAATGATTTGTGGAAATACCTACAGATGACACTGAAGGAAAGAAACGAAGGCTCTAGAATATTATTGGTCCCATATAGCCAAGATACTTAGTTTCTATCATTTTTCATTTTCTCATGTCAGATTACCCAAGTCAGTTATAAAGCATCATTAAAATAGGAAAACAATAGTTCGCTGTTTTTAAAACTATAAATAAACAGTAGAAATGCATGGTATCACTTAGACAATTTGAGAAACTAAAAGAAAGAATTCTTTCCTTCTTTGAACTTATGACCATTTAACAAAAAGAAAATCAGTGAAAAACACTGTAAGGTACTTCCTGAGAAAATTCAAAGCTTCAATATAAATCATTAGGCTTCTGATAGTATGTAGATAATTCCAAATGTACAAATATGCCATGTTCTAAAATGTTCTGCATTTAAGTAGGGTTACAGACATCTGGAATATACTTTCTCATTATACAACATGGCAACTGTTCATTTCCAATGCTAACCTTAAAAAGCTTACCCATAAAAATATCTGAAATAACAGAAGTATGTCCATGGCTAAAGTAGCTACTGAGAAAATTCAATCCTTACTTAAGTGTTCAGGAAATCTCCTTGGTCCCCCCACTTTGCTCTCCATTGCATATCTCACCCTTCCCCACACTCCAAATGATGATGAACTATTTCTATAGCCCACATACTTACTGCTTCATCATACTTTCTCTGTTTTATATAAGATCTTGCTTTTCTTAAAATGTTTAGCTGTTTAGATTCAGGAAGCAACCTACAAAAGGAAAGGTTAGGTTTAAAATGTTTCCTCATTTCAGTGACATTTTTTCATTCTTTATTTTCTTTCTTAATTGAAAATAAAAGGATGGTAAAAGTGGAGAAAATAAAAACTGAAACAAAACAACAACAAAAAGGAAGAAAACTAAAGCTAAGTTGTATTATTGCTAGTTATCTGAACCCTGCCAAGAAATAGCTTATAGTTAAATTTGGTTTTCTTGACTCAAAGTTTCAACTCCAAACTATACTTAGAAAGTCATATGATCCATCACTTTGAAGAAATGAAGTACTCTGGTTTGAGCTTCAGTGCTCAGCCTTTGTGTGCTCATCCGTATGCAGACAGAACAGACAAGGCAGAATCAGTATGGATGGCTCTTCGTACCCCTGAGCTAGACGGGCCTCAGAATTGTCATGATCAAAAAACTCCAGGCAACCAAAACCAACAAAGTCAATGAATAATTTGAACCTCTTTGCCATTCTTCTACTACACAATATACTTTTGGTTCCCTTATCTTTTATTTCTCTTTCTGTCATTTTCCACAATAGAAGGCTTACACATACAAGAGAAATACTCTTAATATTAAATAAACCGGAAATATATCTAAAGACATTAAGTTTATGGAATGTAAAAACTGAAGAAATATAACCAGAACTCAATTACCTGATGGAAATAAATATATACAAACACAAAGTTGAATGTATACTGCCTAATTAAAACTTATAAGTGAATACCTTCAAACTTAAAAAGTATTAAAAAAGTTATTTAAGGCTCTATTGGGGTTAGATCATATGAAATTGACATTTTTGAATGTAAAAAAACTACTACATTTTAAATATTGACAATTTCACATGATTCAACATAATATAATCACTTATCTTCCTTCCACTTGGTTCCAGCAATCTCTAAAGATATAAGATAGAGATCTATATGAAGTAAATCTTTTATGAAATGATATTAATTGGGTGGAGTCATAAACTTCTTTCTGAATCTGATACTCTCTAGAAAACATATATAATATTACATAATTTTCATAAAATTCATGAAACCCAGAGACGTCTGGACGTCTCTAAGCACCCCTGATTGGGAACTGCGCTACTCCAAGGATCCCCAGATCTTTCAACTCAAAGAAACCCAATCACTGTTTCAGACTGCAAGAAAAGTCTCTACCTCTGGACTCAACTGGGATTTGGATGAAAAAATACCAGCAAGTGGGAACACATAAAAGAAACACAAGTTACTTCAAAATGTAGCCATGGTCCAATTTTTTGTCCTTCAGATACCACACATTTTGAAAGATTTTCCTAGAGGTCTTAGGATTGGAATCACTGGGCCAAAGGGCACCAGAATTCTTTGAAGGTTATATTCAAATAGAATTTTCCAAATTTCTATAAAACTCTTCTAATTGGTCTCCCTCCCTTGCTTTGATCTGCTTGGCTTCCTAAAATATGAATTCCAGCTTCTAACTTAACTTGAAGTTGATATGGGCATCTTATCATCTACTTTGTCAACTCTAAACTTCCTGGACTATTGATGACCATCTCTTTCTATTCTACTTAATTTCCCATTATCCCAAATGTACGCCCTCAGCTATAAGATGGTTACACACTTCGTTCTTCACCTATCTTGTATTCATATCTGAGTTCTTGTCCATAAAGATCCTTCCCTCCTGCTTTCCAAAATCAAATCTTCATCACCCTTTGCATCCTCTCCAAATCCCGCCTCACACCACTGGCATTTTAGTGTGGTCTACTATCAATTTATTCTCTTCAATTAAATTTTAATCTCCATGGAGGACATTACTTATTTCTATTAAAAACCAGAATAATACTTAGAAAAATACTAAGCACGTAAAATGAATCAATAAATCTTAATTGATTAAAATGGTATCAAAATATTGCAGATCTAAAAACAGGCGAAAGAGGCATCTGGGTGGCTCAGTCGGTGGAGTGTCAGGTCATGATCTCACTGGTCATGAGTTCCCACATCAGGCTTTGCACTGATAGTGCAGAGCCTGATTCAGATTCTCTCTCTCTCTTCTGTGCCCCTCCCCTGCTAGTGTTCCCTTTCTCTCTCTCAAAAATAAACATTAAAAAAAATTTAAGGGGAAAAAATAAGAGAATAATATACACTGCCATTTTTAAAGTACCCAATTACTTGCTAATTAAATTAAAAGATGAAAGAAGGCTTGTCTGGAGCTAAATTACTTAGGCTAATTTATATATGTTCTCAAGCAAACTTCTAAGAATGAAAGAAGAAATAGTTTTAAAGAAAGTGTTTATATTCTACTATGTTGACTATATCTCATTATATTACATATGAAATGTTATGTTATATATGGAGTACTTCTTTACCTAAGAACTCCATATATAACATATATAGTATCAGACTAGTTTATATTTTTCCTAAAAGTACTATTTGTAAATCTTGGGACATACCAAAGATTTTTCTTTTTTTAGTATTTGTTTATTTTGGGGGAGAGCACAAGTAGGGGAGGGGCAAGAGACGGGGACAGAGGATCAGAAGCAGGCTCCGTGCTGACAGGCTGACAGCAGTGAGCCCGATATGAGGCTGGAAACCATGAACTATGAGATCATGACCTAAGCTGAAGTTGGATGCTTAACCAACTGGGCTACCCAGGCACGCGTACACCATTTTATTTCTTAAGAAAAAGAGAAGATCTAAAAAAATACAGTTAAGATGTTAACGTTTCTTAAGTCTGGTTGTGGGTACAAGGATTTTTGTTATATTCTCCATTCTTTTTGGCATGTTTGAAGAGGGATACATATGTACATATGACACATATAGAAAGCTGCATAAGAAACTGCTACTTTGCCTCCAGGGAAAAAGACTATAAAACTAGAACTCAGCAGAGGTAACATTTTATTATTGCTTGTATAACTTTTATTGTGTATATGCATTCCCTTTTCATTCACTTTTTATTGACCCGGTTTTTAAAAAAATAATTAAAACATTAAAATTTAACCAGTTTCTGGCTCTGATGGAGAAGTAAGTGTGGACATACCAATGCTCCCACCAGGAACAACTAAAGAGTCTAATAAAAATAAAATTAAAAAATCACTTTGAAGGTGCTGGAAAGCCACTGAGACTATCAAGAGTTAAGAGTTAAGATCCTAGAGAGAAGCAAACCAGAGAAGTACTCCAGCATTCTACAAACAGTAACTCTTAGGGCATCTGCCATTTTTATTTTTGGCAAAAGGCTGAGAAGTTGGGCATACAGCTGTTGCCAGGAGGCAGAGAATCCAACATAGCCTTTGGCCATCCCATAAGGCTGTAGAGATAAATATAATTTGTGGCTGCCAATGCAGCCAGGACTTCAGGATCCAAAAGAGAAGAAAAATAAGAGAATAAGATATAATTTTCATCCTGAACTGTTCTTTTTTTTAGGTTTATTTATTTTTTGAGAGAGAGAGAGCAAGCATGTGCACACTCAAGCTGGGGAGGGGCAGAGAGAAGGGGAGAGAGAATCCCAAGCAGGCTCTGCACTGTCAGCACAGAGCCTGATGCGGGGCTCAAACCCACGAACTGAACCATGAGATCATGACCTGAGCCAAAACCAAGAGTCGGAGGCTTAACTGAGCCACCCAGGTACCCCTCATTCTGGTTTAAAAAAAAAAAAGACATGAATGAAAAGCTATCTAAATGACTTAAGCTAACTTAATAGTTTCTGAGGCGAGGAAGAATGGGAGAAGGCACTTTTATACACAATAACTTCTATGTGGAGAATTCAGGTAAAGAAACAGAGGCCACATGCTAGTCGGAAGGGAAGTGAGCTGGACACCCAGCAAACTCTTCAGCTGTGAACAGGATAAAGTGGACAAGCAGCTGTGAAAAAAGCGCCTGAACAGGAAGGCAGAAGATTTGCCAGCCTCAAGAGACAGAAGAGACAAAACCTGGTGTTCAGGAGTCATGGAGGAATGGCTCTGGATAACACTTGCTCCCCACTGAGATTCCCTGGAGGCTACACTCCCAAGAGCAGACACAACCAGAGGGAAGAGGAGACAACAGACGCAACACGGCCCTGAGTCAGCTGTCCTTCTGTTAGAGGATAAGGTAAAACCTCACTGGAGAATGAGATAATCCAGAGCTTCCAGAACTTTTAATTCACAATGATAAGCATTCATCTAAAAACCACCAGACTCAATAACAGGACCAAATGAAAAGACAGTGGAAGCACACTCATAAATGATCTGGTTATTGGTGGTGTTATCAGCTACACTTTAACTGTGGCTACTATATTCAATAATAAAGAGCAAGATAGAAAACTGCACCAAAGAACTGGCATCTGTTTTTTAAATGAATTGAAATGGAAATTCTACAACTGAAAAAAAAAATGTAACAACTGAGACTAGGAACTCAAAAGCAGCCAACAGGACAGAGCAGAAGAGAGATCTGGCATCTTAGAAGACAGGTGGGTAGAAAATATCCTGCCTGAACTCTGAAGAGCAGAAAGAATGAAAAATACAGAAGACTATTAAAAAAACTCCCAAACAACATACAGCCCCTATGAACGGCCCTAATAATGTAATTAGAATCGCACAGAGGGAGGGAGAACTTGGTAGACATAGTATTTGATGATCATGGCAGCAGAATGTTTCTAACAGTAATTTGTATGAAAACAAATGTCTTTACTGACTAAATCTTTTATATTCAAAACATCAAGTTTTAGAAGAATCTACTACCAGGAGATCATGCTTAAGTAAAAAGAAAAAGAAAAATGAGTATTAACTGTGCACATTTCTTGGTTATGACTCCTACTATTCCCTCCGTGTTTTTAGTTATTAGAACATTCTAGAAGCAAGTAAACCATGTTTTAGGATTGTCAAGAATTTTATCATTAACTATTCAGGTCTCTAGTGTTTGAAGGAGAAAATCTCCTTAAAATGCCGCCCTTTGAAGTGTTTTATCTTTTATATCCTCTCAGATTTTTATTACAAAAATATTTCACTGGTACTTACACATAATATTTTAGGGATACCTAGTGATTACCTAGTCCATTCCTTTTTAGAATGTCTATTTAGATTAAAGGAGAGGTATTTCAAGAAGGTAAAGACAGAGAAAGGGCAAGTTATTTCTAGAATAATCTGCATTCTATTATACAATCTTATTTTCATCTTTGAAGTCATAACTGAGTAAATAAAAAATTTCTATGTATGTGTGTGGTATATAAAAGTTACTTTTTTAAAAGGAGGAATTTCAGTCTTGAAGGGAGAAATTGCATTTATAGTATATCAGATGGGTGACATGGTAGAAAGAGTCACATGAAAATCAGTATTTAAATTTGATCTAAGGGAGGAACTTTAAACCATACCAGCCTAACAGAAACAAATATATTAAAAAGAAGCAAAGTAGTTTTTGCCATTTTGGCAGAAAATATATTAAAATGTTTTGTTAAAGTTTAACTGACCTGAGTTTAATAGTGATTTTTACATAAAAGAGAATAGCTATTTTTGTTTCTATTGGCAAGGTACATTATCCCCTTTCCATTCTCATTTTCTTCTAAAATATCCCTTAAGAGACCTTTCTTGTTCTTTTCCCATTTCATGTAATTTTTTTCCTTTAAAGTTTTTCTGGGCCTTCCTTTGGCCTCTATTGTACAGTTTTCATACACAAAGAGTATTTCCTCCCCAAGGTACCCTCACATAGTCAAACTTTCATGCTTCCCCTAGTCATGGGGCTCCACCTGCTGTCCGTCCCTTGACATAGAATTAGGTACAAAGGACTTAACCTTAGGTTTGAGTTTCTTTGTTGAGTTTTACTTGTCAGAATAGATATTACAGGACTTATTCCTTTTTAGAAAGTCTTTAAGATATAAAAGATAAAACCTACTTATTTTTTAAAGAATAGGATAAAATAGGATATGCAATTACCATATGGATCCATCGGATTCTTTTACAAGATATGTTAAAGGACCTTAGCAATTATACTTTTCTCACATCTTCAAACTCTTGCTACTTCATCCCCCTAGGAATTAATACATTATTCATGCTAGACAAGACTAAATAAGAGAATGGAAGAATAGTGGAAAGATATCATTAATCTAAAATCTAGTGATGCTGGTGAAGTTGATCATGCAAGTAAAATCTCAAGACCATGAACCTTCAGATGTCAATATCCTAAATAAATCTTCTCAAACTTAAGAACTGATGAGTGAATAATATATTTCTAAGAAGAAAAAGGAAATATGGTCTTATTCAAGAAAGAAGGTCTTTATTGAACAATTGTTTGTAACAAGAACTTGAGCTGTCTTACATAAAGGATCTGTAACAACTATATTCTTTCATCTATTATGATGTTTACGTGCCAACAATCACTTGATATAGCTTTTAAGTGGATAATGTTGACATTATATATAAAGGTGGTTGGAAGAAAACAATGGTATAAAAATGAATAAATTCACTGGACTAGAGAAACATAGAGGGTCCATGGTACTCAGATGATAAATAGCAACAACTGTTTTTCCCAGTATACTGAACATATGTAATAAAAAAAAGATACTACTCATAATAGAAATAAAATGTCCAGGAATAAAGTAATGGAAAATGTATATTGTGGGAAAAACTATAAAATTTTACTTAAGAACATAACGGGGGATATATATATATATAAGTAAATGTTGGATAGTAATACCCTCTATTATAAAAATGTCAATCCTCACCAAATTACTTCCTAAATATAGTATAATAAACAAGGAATTTTTCATTTTCATATAACTCAAGGTAATGATTCTAACATTTATTTGGAAAAATACATTTCTTCATTTATGCCCATTATTTTTATGATTTCATGATTTGTGCCAAGGATTAAACTACCTATTTATTTTTTGTTTCTTTTTTAAGTATATGCTTTAGCAAAGTAATATATGCACATAATTTTAAAAAATAAAAAGCAGTGCAGAGGGCACAATCACAACCAATAAGAGCCTGTCTCACCCTTCTCTTCTCTCAGCTCCTCAGCCCAGAGACAAAAACTTTTACAAGCGTCTGTTTTTAGCTATACTTGTAGTTATCTCCATTTTTCTTAATAATATGCTTTTATTACTATTTCTTGACTAGATGACCGGAGGCATTTTCTGTTGACTCTTCACTGACTCTGCCTGTTCCTGCTGTCTCCTCCCTCCCTTAATATGGTTATATTATTATTTTTACCTCTTCTGTTATCTTCGTTGGTCACTTTATTTTTTTTAAGTAATCTCTACCCTCACCACGGGGCTCAAACTCATGACCCCAAGATTAAGAGTTGCGTGCTCTACCCACTGAGCCAGGCAGGTGCCCCTACATCAGTTACTTTAATAACATAATACCAAGGGGCACCTGGGTGGCTTAGTAGGTTGAGTGTCCGACTTTGGCTTAGGTCACGATCTTGCGGTTTGTGGTTCGAACCCTGTGTCAGGCTCTGTGCTGATAGGTCAGAACCTGGTCCTGCCTTGGATTCTGTGTCTCCCTCTCTCTCTGCCTCTCCTCTGCTCACAGTCTGTCTCTCTCTCCTTCCAAAATAAATAAGCAGTAAAAAAAAATTTAATAATGTAATACCTAAACCTCTGTCTTATTTTCTTGACTATGTCTAGAATCTCCACATTCTATTTTACGAAGACAATAGCACCACTACTATTCCATTTATATTTCTCTTCTCCTCTGACTTGCAGCATGTAACCCTGTACGCTTGTCAGGGTTGGGAACATTTACATTCTATTCTGCAATCATAATTAAGTCTTTGCTTTGCCTAAGGTTTGACTCTAAAAGCTGAAAACCAGTATTTGCTTTATTATGATTATTGAAACACTGTTCACTGAGTAGCTAAGTTTTATGCTAGGATTAGATTTTCTCACCTATTTCATTGAAGCTTTGATCTATGTGCCAGTGTTCAAATGAATTCTCTTTCTCATACTCCCAGCAACTGTTCAGAATCAACTTACATATTAGGGTGCTTCATATCTGAAGCATGCTTTCTTGTACAGTTCGAAATGTTTCCTTTTCCCTGAAGTGTCCACTTGTCATTATTTCAGGGGATGAAGAAACGTATGCCTTCCTGTTTCCTCCAGCTTCTTACTCTATCCATATATTAAAATTCTCACTCAATCCATATATGAAAATTCATTTCCTTTCACTATTCTAATTTGGAGGGTTTGCCTCCCATTTGGACTATTCTTGTATAATTTATCATACTGCAAAGTTTTAGTTGCATTTCTGTTTTTTCAAATATGCATCTTGTAACCTTTCTCATTTTGTGTGTGCTTTTTTTTTAATGGATACAATAATTCCTCAGATATTTCTGAGAACTTTAACATTTTTAAGTTCTTTAACGTTCCTTAAATTACTTCCTCAGGAGTCAATTCTTGATTTTACCTTAGACACGTTTTGGTCATATTGGAGGCTTTTGAGAAATGGTGATTTTTAGCCAGACAAGTCTGCAGACAGGGCTAAAGCTTCGTTCTGGGGTTGAGGAATCACCCATGCTGGAGGGCCCCCAGATGACAAAAGGCTAGCAGTGGCTCTGCAGGCAGATGTTGAGCATCAAAGCAGGGCAAGTTCCAGGTCAGCCAGCAGGCCTAAGTGGAAGAAGGCAGGCAGCGTGCACCTGAACTCTTTGCAGAAGAATACCTCTTCCTTGACCAGTTTTTCTAAAGTGGCTGGTCTAAGCTAATCCACAGTCCCACTTTCAATGTCCCAAGTACTTTCTTCATCCCAGGAATTGATAATATAGTTCTTGTTATTTGTTTACTTTATTATGCTCTGACTGCACCACTACACTGTAAATAAACAGATGTATATGATATGTATATGACATAATATGGGGCAAATAGTGAAAACTTGCCATATAATCTCTATACACATATATGATATCTTACAATTAGAGACAGTCTTCAAAAATAATTCCACCTTTGATGTATATTACCTAATATTTAGGGTAATTTCATGCGATCATAAGTTGCAAAATACTAATTTTGCTTGGGTTTTGCTCTCCTATTCACACAAATATACATACCCAAAGTCAGGCACGCAATCACCTTACTCAGAGGGTAGGGCAGTATTTAAGCCTTTCTAGTTTATGAATACCACACTAGTGCCACAGATTTGTCAAAAATAATTCCAGTGAAGTCATTCAAACACATTGCTAACACCCATATTTTAATGACCAAAAGACTTCAATCAAAGGTCAAGAGCAAAATCCTTCCTGATTAAATGTGAACTCTTACAAACTAAAAACCAACCTTTAGGAGAAGTAAAGGAGGCTGGATATACCTGCCCAAGTTTGGTAGTGCCAGGTTTGTGACTGAAATTTCCCCACTCCTGATTCAAGGAAAACAGACCTGGGATAGCAAAATCCTGCTGCCCGCCTTCGTCTGTTCTCCTCCTTACCCACCCAGTAGCTGTCAGTATCTCCCAGAAAATATCATTGGCCTTTTCTTGTCACTTCCTACATTCTAGAGCCTCCTACGTGTGTAACAGTTAACACACCATCTTATCTTATGCTGATGCCTTCAAGTCTTCATAACCAACTTTCATCTCTACATCGCGATCCAAGTCACTGATGTGCTACCCTAAGTTTACGTCTAACTAATTCTAACTAATTAATTGGTTTCTTCAAATATAAGCTGAACTCAGAAACATTCATCCTTGCCCCTTGCACCATCTCCTCTTTATTTTTACAAGTCACAATGGTACCAACATGTCCCAGTCAGCCAAGCAAAGAGCCCCCACACCTTCAATCAAGCCCTGCTGAATTTATCTCTTTAACATCTCCCACAGCTCTCTGTGCCCCTTTATCTCCTTCACTAGCCACTCAAAGGTATCTGGTATCTGGCCCATTATTTATAAAAGCAAGAGAAGAGGCTTTTGTTTTGGAGTTTGTACTAATATGAATAAAAAAGAAAAAGTTTCTAAGTAACTAATCTATTCTGTCAGCACTCATGCTCATCAAAATATTCCTTCCTATAAGTTAATAAAAAATATGAGACTTACTTAAATGGTATAAACAAAAACGGTAAAGTAACTTCTTTTTTCTGAGTCATTTTCACCTGGGAACCAAGTATGAAAATATTTTATTATATTGTAAATGAGACAAAAATTAATTTCATTTTGAAATACAAACATCCATTAAAATGGCTCTTTGGGGATGGTTCACTACTTTGAAACTAAATGGAATTTTATGTTACTATATTATTTCATAAGTATTTAAACGAAAATTTCAGATTAGCATACTGCCACAATGAGCTGAGAATTAATCCTATCAAGCTTGCAAAAGAACATATTGTTCTTTTAAACTAATTCAAGAATTAATCTAATTAAACTGTATTTCTTTTATTCTTAGAAAACGAAACAAGCCAAGCTGCCTTAACAGTATTAAGAATAGCAGAAAGTTTCAGTGAAATGGTCACCTCTCTAATTTGTCTTAATGCATGTGACAGTTATACATGAAGTGACGAGAAATGCTGCAATCTCTACTACTACTTCTATGGGGCAAATTCCAATCAGTAAAGAGGTGTTATGTAGTCTTTATAAGCATAGTGGTGGTCTTCAAAGGTAATTCTACACACTCAAACTGATTCCTGGGATCGGCACCTCACAAATGTTAAACGTTATGACACTAGTCAAAGACACAAAATTTAAAGATCATAAACTATCGAAACTAATCTCTTTATATTTTCACCTAATATATTTGATGTTAAAATTGTCATCATTATCTATTTGTGTGTGTGTTGTTTTACCTTGAATTGTTCAAGAATCTGTATTGCATTTGTAAACATGCTCTCTGCTTTGAAGAGATCGGTGTTGTTAAGATAATCTATAGGAAGGATGCCCTGTAAATAAAAAACACTGGTTTAATATTAGTATTAATGTTATTAGTATACTATTATTAGTATTAACAACTCAGTCTGTTCTTATAAAACAAAACAGAGTTACAAAGGAAACAATAAAGACAAGACACATCTTTAAAACCATAACTGAAATATGTTCTATTTTTTTTCCTCACAAAGTGGATATAATACAGTAAGCAAAACCATAGAGATGAAGTAAATTCAATAAAATCTAGTATCTACTGAAAGACTACTGTGTGCTAAGCACTGAACTAAATGCTTTGCACACACAAAATATCCCTATGGTGGGGCAACAGCCACTATCCTTAAAAAAGAAAAAATGATATAATAAGAAAATTGAGGGTATACCATGCGTAGTAAGAGTAAAGGCTGTTTTGTTAAACTTTTGTTTCAGTTCTACACATACACATATACTTATGACTAGAAGGGTCATTAACTCAGAGTTCTGAGTTAGAGGACGTTATTTAAAAAAAAAAAAGTTAATGTTTATTCATGTTTGACAGAGATAGAGACAGTGTGAGTGGGGGAGGGACAGAGAGAGAGGGAGACACAGAATCTAAAGCAGGCTCTAGGCTCCGAGCTGTCAGCACAGAGCCCGACGCGGGGCTCAATCCCACAAACTGCGCAATCATGACCTGAGCCAAAGTTGGATGCTTAACCGACTGAGCCACCCAGGAGCCCCCGCAGTGGGTTTCTAATGGAGCCCTACCTTCCTTTACTCAAGGATAAACAAATAACCCAAGCTAGCCCACTCACAAGGTAAGCAGTGGAATTTGACTCTTGAGAGTCAAGGAACAAAAAGTACAACAGGTATAATACTATTCTCCCCTAGTGCTGGTGCACTGAGCACAACAGTTTGGATCTTTCTTCCTTCCAAGCCTCCGGTGCTCCCTTGGCTCCTGTTCATTTCCAAGCCTGGATTATGAGCACGCCTTCAAGTCAACAACCCAGTAATAGCTTTTTAATAAATTCCCTTTGAATGGATTCAGTTTCTGCTGTGAAATATATGTGTATATATATACCCATATATATTTTATATACATATAAAGCCATTTATAACAAATACAAAGATAAATCTATATACATTTTAGAAAAAAAAATTTTAAAGAAAAGCTATTAGGCTTCTGCTCCATGTTGTAGATTATAATACATATGCAGTTACTTACATAGATACTTAGAAAAAAAAACAGAAGAAAATAAGTTTTAAATGTAACCAAAGATTATTCAGAAAAACATAAAAAGTAAATTTTACTGTACAGTAACTTTTTTATTCTGAGAGCTGATAAGAAATTTTATTCCTTACCACTGAATTAAGGGGAAAGGGAACTCCGATAAGAGAAGCCATCAATGGTGCAATATCAGCCTACAAACAGAAAATGTTCAATTCTAGTAAGTTTACAGACATCAATAAGTAAATTATATAATTTAACGCAACTATATTTTGGACTATCATCATGATGTTCATTATAATCCATACCATCAAACATTTAATACACAACAGATATCTCTAAAAATGTCATTTGCTATAGCTGCATTAACTTACACACTAGAATAAAAAGTTAGTACCCTGGTAGCTAAGAACTTGACCACTTCATGTAATAGTTTTTCAGTATCATGAAAAGGATGCCTTAACTAGAAAGAAAGTAAATACCAAGACAAGCCTTTAACTGGAGAAAGGTACATATTAGGAAAGAAAGTGTACACCAGGAGGTTTGGCCAGACAGTGAAAGTCCAGAAAAGACATCAACCCCCCAGTTTCCCGGACACTTGTTTGTGCTTCTACCTCCATTTCCTTATCTGCCTCTCACTCCTCAGCCCTCTACAACTTCCTTTGATCCTTCACCATCCTACAGACACTCTCCCTTACTGAGCTAATACCCTCTTTTTTTCTAGATCTGACTGTTTTTATATTAGTCCTTTTCGTTTTTCAGGGAGTAAAATGTTTAGCTGTCAGAATACTCAGTTCCAAATCCTTGCCTGCAATCTCTGAGTCCTTGGGGAGGTTATTTGACCTTCTCAAAGCCTCGGTTTCCTTATCATCTATTTTCTTATCATTTATTTATTTAAAAGAACTCCCTTACAGAGTTATGGCATAATTAAAGATTACATTTATCAAGTACCTGGCACAAAATAATCCTGCAATAAATGGTGGCTACAAATGCTCTTCTGGTTATTTTAATCACTTGACTTCTCAGCAGCACTGTGTAGACTATTCCCTTCTTGGCATCTGTAACACCAAACACTCCACTCAATGTCTTCAGTCTCACTGGGGCTCCTTTCCAGATACCATCTCTAGCTCTCCATTTAAAGTTGGAGTTTGGTCCCAGGCTCTCACTGCTTCTCACTCTTTACCATCTGGACTCTCTTACTAAGTACCATCCTACAGAAAATTGGAAAACTACAATGGCCTCTAATTGCCTTGTACCTTTCCCCCAGAATCCACTGGTGACCTCTTCTAATCTGTTCTTCATGCTGCAGCCAGAGAAATCTTTCCCCCCCAAAATACAGATGTCACTCTCCAAGCTTCAGATACTTCAAGGGCCTCCTCAAGCTTTAAGATTAAGTCCATAGACCCATAAGAACCTGCGGGGTCCAGTCCTAGCCGGACATCATAGCACAGTCTCAGTTTCTCTGGCTCCTTTAATAAGCCAGGTATCATCTCACCAGAGCTCTGTGTACATGCTGCTGCCTCTGCCTGGAAAGGGAGAAGGAACATCCTGTCCCTGGTAACTCCTACTTATTCTTCAAACTCAGCTCAAACCTCTCTTTCTCGGTAAGACTTTGTGGACCATACACTCTATCAGATATGTCCCTTCTGTACGTCCCTCACGGCTTCGCTTCCTCTTTTGTACTACTTATCACAGCTGTAATTTTACATTTATTTGTATAATAATTTGCTTAATATTTGTTCTCACCCCTAAACTGTAAGCTTCCCAGGACAGGCATTTTGTCTGCTTTTCCTCAGCATTATCCCTTATACATATATGTTTAATGTTAATGTCTGCACAGTGTTTGAATACACTGTGGACACATAACAATGTTGGTGGAAGGAGTGAATAAAGAAAGTCTCATCTAATATAGGTTTGAAGTAGGAGTGGTCACTGAGTAATAGCTGAATCTATATTTAGTTTTAAATTATAATCCAGTCTGGCCATATGTTTCATGATCTTCAAGTTATTTCCTATCCTTCTGACAGTGATTTTTGCTGCAAATTAATTAAACTGCTATTCTAATTTTATACATTTCCACTTATTTGGGCGATATGCAGCCATCCCTCTTTAATATGCTGGCAGAGACCAGGCTTCTGCACCACAGGCCTGAAAATGAGATCCTAGACCTTGGTTTACCCACCACAATAAGCAATGCCAGTTGGTAAGGTGACCTGGAGAAGATAAAATATTCCTGCCACCTTGGAGGCCATATACCAACAATGCCATGCCTTCTACACATAGTGAGAATGACTGTTTGCAGAGCATATCTTCAACAATGAAAATTCCATGCTTCATATTTACACATAGTGTTACCAGTCTAACTTGATTAGGCTGGCCATGCGTTTTCCTGTAATCTATAGTTTCTAGCTAAGTAATCTATGTTTTGTTATCTTTTTTCCATTGTATTTGTAACCATCCTGGGTAGAATTAAAGATAAAATATGGGTTAATAAAAAAGAAACAGTAACTCACATACTACAGGAAAAAAAACATAATTGGGTTTTATTAGGTCTGTGCTAGGAGCAACTAAGCCACGCAACCATGACAAGAAATCATAGGAATTGAACAGCCATGCAGATTTCAATTTACATAATAATTCTTTAATTAGCCAATGTTATTTGGAGGGAGTCTTCTTTCAGTTTTACTTGAAGCTTTTTCTATTTTGCCAAAAGACAGATTAGTTGGGTTAAAATATTTGCACTAAAAGGATTTCCCTTGGTAATTGAAATGTTTTGAAAAATACTTTATCATCGTTATTATTAATATGCTTTTTCAGATTTTTTTTCCAGCCTAAACTTCTTCTAGGAGAGAAAATTAAACATGGACGTGATTAAATCGAACTGAATACCTGATGGATATCTTGCCTCTTCCAGCTCTCTAATTTCCATTCTGAAACAAAATGAGACACAACAGCTGATGTTAAGATTTAAAAAAATAATAATAATAGTTTCATTATTAAGAGAGATCGATGTGTAATGTGAAACAAAAGTACTGGGCAAGGCTATTTTAGGCCAACTATGAACAAAAAAGACACTTAACAGGCACAGCTGTATATTTTTAAAACTAGTATGTAAAAGAATAGCTTTAAAGTAAATATTTGGTGTTTTCCGTGATGATTTGTTAAACTTTCAAAATGCTCATTTGCAGACAATTCTTTCAAAACATCAAAAGGGCAAGGGAGGGAAGATGGAAGTAAAAGGCACAATGATAACAGCTGTCAGCATGACTATGACAAATGACAGTCCTGCTCCAGTCCTGCTCTGGGGAGTAATTAAAGCAACTGATAGTCTCTTAAGACAGCCTAAGCCTTTCTTTCTGTAAATGCAGTTGCTTGCAAAATACTTAAAGATGTTGCTGTGATATTCTCACCATCACTGATCCCAAATGTTAAAATCCTATAGTGAGTTACAATTAAAATAGCCTTCAGAGATAACCTCATTCCCCTATTTTTCCACATATAAATTCAGAAATTTCAATAGACAGTAATCAAAACAGATGATTATGAGACCATGTCTTCACTTAATGAATTTAAGATATATTACCAAAAGGGTTCTAAGATATTATGATGAAATTTCCTTTAATAAGCTAGCAAAAAAATATGTTCCTAGTTCTACTAGTCAGCTACTAAAAAATTCACACTAATTACCTGAGGAGGAAAAAAATGCACATTCCCTTTCTCTGTAATTTATGATACCTAATATTCATAGAAGAAAAAAGATATTCCTCTGTAATGATTCTTGGAGTCAAATTATTCTATAACATTAATTCACTGAGAAATCAAGTGCCAAAGTTTTATCTCCTAAGCACAAACATTCGATTTAACCTAGCTTCTATTAGACCCAATCCATTTACCACAGAGCATAGGAATATAAAATGGTGAAGCTGCTTTAGCAAACAGTGTGGCAGTCTGCAAAACATTAAACATACAGTTACATTTATTCCATTAGTAGGTACCTATGTGAGAGAAATGACAACATGTGTACACAAAAACTGGTACACAAATGTTCACACCGTCACTATCATAAGAGCCAAATGTGGAAACAACCCAAATGTCCATAAGATGATTAGATAAATAAAATACGGTCTATACACACAATGGAATATCATTCAGCTATAAAAAATAAACTACTTACACATACTACAATACAGATGAACCTTGAAAAAATTATGCCAAGTGGAAGAAGCCAGACACAAAGACTATACAGTAATTCCATTTATATGAAATGTCCAGAATAAGCAGATCCAGAGAGAGAAAGTATAGTAATGGGTGCCAGGTGATGGGGAGGGGGGGAATAAGGTGTGACTGTTACTGGGGAAGGGGTTTCTTCATCTTGATGATGAAACTGTAACTAGATAGTAGAGGTGATGCTACAATCTTGTGAATATGCTAAAAGAAAAAAAAAAAACAACCTGAGAGGTACACTTTTAAAACATGAATTAAAATGGCATGAGATGGCAATGAGAAACAATGAAATATGGCCATGTGTAGCAACATGGATGGACCTTGAGGGTGTTATGCTGAGCGAAATAAGTCAGGCAGAGAAGGACAAATATCATATGTTTGCACGTATAGGAGGATTAGGAGGAACTTGACGGAGAAACAAGGGGGAGAAGAAGGGTGGAAATGGTGGGGGAAAGGGAGAGAGGCAAACCATGAGAGACTCTTGAATGCTGACAAAAACTGAGGAGTGGGGGGGGGGGGGGGGGGGGGGGATGGGCATGGAGGAGGACACTTGTGGGGATGAGCACTGAGTGTTATGTGGAAACTAATTTGACAATAAACTATTTGTAAAAAAAAATAATAAAAATAAAAAAATAAAATGGCATGAGAATTTTATCTCAATAAAAAAATAAATTTAAGAAAAGAGTCTAAGGAAATTTTATTATGCAAACCGAAGAATCTTCTATGACAGAAATAGGTAAATATGGCCATGAATGTGTATGTATCCCTGGAGGTTTTAAAAAGAATATTTCCAAGCCTCATCCAGACTCATGGAATTAAAACATCTAGTGACAAAGTCTGGAAATCTGTTTTTTGTTTGTTTTTAAGTTTATTTACTTAATTTGAGAGAGAGAGAGAGATGTGAGACGGGCAGAGAGAGAGTGAGGAGAGACAGAGAATCCCAAGCAGACTCTGCACCATCAGCGCAGAGCCCATTGTAGGGCTTGAACTCAAGAATTGTAAGAACATGACCTGAGACAAAACCAACAGTCAGACATTTAACCAACTGAGCCACCCACGTGCCCCGATGTAAATTTGTTTGTTTTTTAATCTGTATTTTTAACAAGTGTTTTGGATAATGCAACTAATCTGGAGTGAGGCATTTGAAAAGAATTTGTTTTATCCAATTAATAAAAGTCTGGAACACAAAAAAAAACCCTTACCTCACAAAATAAGCAGAGCTCCAGGAAAAAGGAATTCATTTTCCTCATGGATGAGGAAGGAAGGGAGGCTTGGATAGTACAGAAAGCCTTCAAAGTACTATAGACAGAGCAAAATCAGTCCAGGTGTGAAATGTCAATTGTGATATATGTGTGATTTATCTGACTGATAGTCTCAGGCTAAGATATGACTCAGGAGTTTAGTGGATAAACTCAGCAATAAAAAGGCTTGTGGGAAAAAAAAGCAATAGTATAATCTATACTTGTATCTTCATAAGGCAGATAACTAAGACTATATATGTCAATCTGAATATCATAAACCAAATAAGAACTATACAAAACTAACACATAAAAAGAGAAATGATACAAATATCAAAATGAAAACTATGCCTAGAAAAGTGATTTTTTTAAGTTAAACTTTGGTTTTATTTTACTTTAATGTTTGTTTATTTATTTATTTTGAGGGAGGAGGGGAAGGGAGACAGAAAGAGAGAGAGAAACCCAAGCAGGTTCCTCACTGTCAGCACGGAGCCCACTCAAGGGCTTAAACTCATGAACCGTAAGATCATTACCTGAGCCAAGAGCAACAGACAGACACTTAACCAACTGAGCCACCCAGGCACCCCCCTAAACTTTGGTTTTATTTTAAAATGTTACATTTTTGAAAACAATAAAGATATATGTTTATACCTTTCAAAAACATATCATCAAATTTCTGAGCTGATACTTTTTGGGGATACTTGATTCCAGCTCCCCAAGTGACAAACGGAGTTAAAGTCTCTGAAGGATGACCAGCCCCATGGAAACCTAGAAATAAGACATCAAGAGTAATAGACAAGGATAAAAGAAATTATACCTATTCATTTTTTAAAATAATTTTAAAGAATTGACCTTTCTACTTCTAGCCACCACACTCCCAAATGTATACAACTCTGCATCGTACTTAGTTTTAAAATATTCCCAAAGCATGTCAGAGCATCAACAACAGACAGGCAAAAACAAAACAAAAAGAATGTTTGTTGATCGACTGGGTGAAAGAACAAGAATATTAATGAGAAGACTTGGGAGGAGATGCGGCCAGAGTAGTGCCATGCAAGACAAGCAGTCGGTCAAGGCCAGGTCTGTTCTGGAGAGGACAGCAAAATCTCTTGATGAGAAATTTCTTCCAGGCAACTCTGGCTGGTGTAACCAAAAGCCCCTTACAGAGTGGAACCAGCTCACTAGAATTCTGCACTGTGATGTGGGAACCCAAACTTCATCTTTGCCTTGTTTTGTTCTCTGTGCACACACTGTGTTTGCCTTAGGAATCTCACAGAAAGGACAAGGCCATCTAGGGTAGACTTCCAGGGGCCCTAGGATTCGTGGTTATACCACCTTAATCTTACCCTGTTTATCATCACTTCTAGTTAATGCTAGATAAATAATGGGATGGGCACTTTTTGTTTTCTTCTCCATAATTTTCTCTGATTTCTCATTTTAAATAAGAATATATTCCTTTTATAGCCAGAAAAAAGACTCTTTATATAAGATCAGGTTTTTTATACTAGCATGTGAAGCATACAATTGTATGTTAGACATTCTGCATAGACTAGGACATCTAATCCTCCTCAACATTACAAGATATCTGCAAGCTACATTTACAACTACTTTAATCATAAAGTACACATCACTTAAAGACAGACTAACCCCAGTCTGTCATTCCATGGTCCGAGGTAAAGACAAATGCTGTTTTCCCATCATTTCCATAAAAGTGTTCAAGAATGGACACCATTTCTTTTATTCCTGCATCCACTAGTCTAATATTGTCCTTATATTCCCTGTTCAAAAACAAATAGAAGAGCAAATTAAATTACATTAATTTGAAAAAATCAAATTTCTTCAACATGAACCTAATATGAATCATCTAAAGTTATTAACTCCTAAAATACATTTATATTTCATCCTTAATATTTTAAAATCAGAGCTCTTTATATTGTTAAAAATAATATTCTCTCCTTTTAAAGAACCCAAAGAATCTGAAACAGTTTTCAGAAATAGTTTAAGAGGAGAATACTCTCCAATGATGATTAGCAAATGTAATTTAATGAATGCTTTTTACATCTCAAATGCATTATGACTTTCAAGTTCATGCCACTCATTGATGCAAACTATATTGTTCTTGTCACATTAATAGGTATCATTGTTTCAAGTATAAAATGTTCTCATCCCTTAGAGTGTTTGTGACATAAAACATTAATATAAAACTACAAGCAAATTATATTTAAGCTTCCATATAGTTGACTAGGTTGGTTTGGTATGAATTCTATCACTTGAAATAGTCTATCATGTTAAAGGGGAGGATGGTATTTATTACCGGCAGTTAACCAATTGGCATTATACACAGTTAGACTTATCTAAACCAAATTCTAAGTAAAAAATAAAAGTAAAACATGGATTCTTCCTTTTATGGTCTGCAAAACTGAGAAAAATATTTGCTGTTCTATACAGGGAATGCTATTAAAATACAGTATACAGGGGCACCTGGGTGACTCGGTGGGTTAGGCGTCCGACTTTGGCTCAGGCCATGATCTCACTGTTTTGAGTTCCGGACCCACATCAGGCTCTATACTGACAGCTCAGAGCCTGGAACCTGCTTCAGATTCTGTGTCTCATTCTCTCTCTGCCTCTCCCCTGCTTGCACTCAGTCTCTCTCTGTCTCTCTAAAATGAATAAACATTTAAAAAAATTTTTAAAGGGGCGCCTGTGTGGCTCAGTCAGTTAAGCATCTGACTTCATTTCAGGCAGGATCTCATGGTCTGTGAGTTCAAGCCCCACACTAGGCTCTGTGCTGATAGCTCAGAGCCTTGAGCCTGCTTTGGATTCTGTGTCTCCTCTCTCTGCCCCTCTTCCACTCATGCTCTGTCTCTCTCTGTCTCATAAAATAAACATTAAAAACAAATTTTTTAGGGGCGCCTAGGTGGCTCCGTCGGTTAAGTGTCCGACTTCGGCTCAGGTCATGATCTCATGGTTCGTGGGTTCGGGCCCCGTGTCAGGCTCTGTGCGATAGCTAGCTCAGAGCCTGGAGTCTGCTTCAGATTCTGTGTCTCCCTCTCTCTCTCTGACCCTCCCCTGCTCATGCTGTCTCCCTCCCTCTCTTTCTCTCTCTCTCAGAAATAAATAAAACATTAAAAAAAATTAATTTTTTAATTAAAAAAGAAATCCAAAACTTTATATAATGATTTGCTAGCTACAATACTGATCACATGAATACAAAAGGAGTAGCTAATTACATCTTTTTGTGATATAAATATTAACATAATATAAATGCTTTTTTTCCCAAGATTTACTTAAATATTCTAAAATAGTTTTTTCTCTGTCTTGATAAATGAAGAATGTAAGTAATGTGATAATTACAAAAAAGTTATAATACTTTAAAAGTTCAAATAAGAATACCTGAGTCCCTCAAAAATATGAAATTAAACACAGCATTAAAATTACCTTGATGATGGTCGATGAGCATGTCCATTTGTATCTATTCCTAATAAATGTAAGAAAAAAACTATTTTTTCTTCATTTAGTTTAGAAAACAAAGACTGGTTGTTTCTGGCAGTATGAAAGAATTCCTATATGTAACAAAAAGAAATTTAGTTCATTTATTTTACATAAAAAATAATTCTGATGAAAACATTTAATTCAACTTAGACATAACTATAAAATTATCTTACTTTGTTTAAGCTTATCCTCAGAACCTACCAACACAAAGTCCTTATTGTCAGTTCACACATCAGCACTTGAATAATGAGTGAGCTGGGCTATAATTAGGCCAAAAAAGCCTTCTAGAAAAGGGACCTTGATTTCACGAAGATCTCTTAAGTGCTAAATAGAATATACCAGTTTGAAGACATATGTTGACAAAAGCCAAAAATAAAACAGTACCAGTGGCAACAATTTAGGAACATTTTATCATTTTTAAATGTTTTAGGAACTGGACTACTTCTCGTTGTCCTGTCTCATTACCGCCCTTGCCCAACTGATACTGCTCACTTGAACAGAGTGAATAGCTTCAGAACAAGTTCCTTTTCGCCAAGACTAGAACCTGTTCTTCCCATCGTGTGATAGAAAAATGCCCACTTAATAAAATATGGGTCAAAAATTATTATACTGTTTCATAATTATAAACTGGATTCAGAAGGCCTTTCTAAGACAATGAATTAAACCTCTATTCACATACATATGAATATGTAAACAAGTATCGGTGGGGAATACTTTTAAACTATTTTAAATAAGTCAACAGGCTCTGCCAAGATACATAATTGTCATTATGTACATACATACATACATACATAAATGTCTCTTAGTAGATGGTAACTTGAACAAGAAAGATTTCATTGTCCAACAAAAGCCTGAAGTATTTTTTGAAATAATTCTTCATCATTAAAAATACCAAAAAATACAAACTGTGTCATTAGAGAAACCTGCTACTCAAGAAGAGAGGTAAATAAAAAACCATGATATGTAACCTGCTACATCTTCCTCAAAAGCATAAAATTGCCCCCTAACTTTCATATGCATTCTACTTAGCCCCTAAGTTTTCAATCTAGATGGAAGTGGTGAGTTCTTCAAGAGAATGGAGTTCAATTCTAAAGATATCATTGAAAGCTGACAAAAAACAAAAAAACCAAGCAACTTAAGTGGAGGAACATTTATAATTTGTTCCATGATTGGTAAAAAAAAATATTCAGCCATGTAAGAAGTGCTATTCATTCATACATGGACACAAGATCTGTGAACTTATGAAATTCTATTCTTGCAGAGCTCAACATGTTAGATTCCTATTGGCTTTTTAAAAGTTGGTCTTTTTTAGTTTTTAATGTTTATTCATCTGAGAGAGAGAGAGAGAGAGAGAGAGAGAGAAAGAGAGAGAACACAACTTGGAGAGGGGTAGAGACAGAGAGGGAGACACAGAATCAGAAATAGGCTCCAGGCTCTGAGCTGTCAGCACAGAGCCTGATGCGGGGCTCAAACCCATGACCTGTGAGATCATGACCTGAGCTGAAGTCGGACGCCCAACCGACTGAGCCACCCAGGCGCCCCAAAAGTTGGTCTTTTGTATGTAAGAGGTGAAATACAGCCCTAGCTACTTTCCCCTTCATATTTAGTATACTCAGGACCATGAGCCCCCACTTTTTCTCATCTCCTTGCAAAAGCACTCATTCATTTCTGCACTCAACAAATATTTGTTATGCATCAAGGGAGAATGTTAGATGACTACCCCCCAACATGCATTCTCCCTCTCTCTCTGAGTAAAAACCTGTGATTTCATGAAATGTGGCAATGCTCCAACCTTAAAACCTACATATTTCCCATCCTCTCTCACAGCTAGACGTGCCTTAGTAGTTGTGGCCAATAAGATATAAGTCAAATATTTCAGTCAAAAGACAATAAGGACCCTCAGGCTCTTTGAAATAAATATAATAGGGAAAAAAGGTCCTTTTCAATTCCCTGCACTGCTGACCTAAAACACTGAAATAATGGCTGCAACTCCAGCATCTCCTGGATCATGAAAAAACTTGGGAGATAAAACTCCTCTGAGGACAGAAGAGAATTCAAGACTGGGTCTTAATGACACCATGGAAGCATTATGTCAATCTTGGACTCCATCAATCCTGGGCTGTCTTCTGCTGGCATTAACTTCACTGAGATAAAAGTAAACTTTTAAGCCGTATTTTTTTTTTTTTTACCTATTATACAGAACTGAACCTAATCTATTATTTGTACCTCTGTACCAGACAATTCCTTGATAGGAATTTAGAGGTAACAACGGGAAAAAGTCCATATCTCTACATAGGACGGAAGGGGGATATGCCATGTATCATCAATTGTGGTATAGCGTAACGAAGTACTTAAGACAGTGGTATTAAGGGAGTAGGGAAGAGTTATCTAAGTCTAACTGAAGTGAGGTGCAGCAAAGGAAAGCCATGGAAGGCCTAAAAGAGGAGACGATGCACAAAGTGAGTTTTGAAAAGCAAATAGATTCAACATGCCTTAAGCTCAAGGACATTATGCCAAGTGAAACAAGTCATTCACAAAGAACAAACACGGTATGATTCCAGTGATATGAGGTAGCTAGATTAAACAAATACATAGAAACAGAGTGTAGAATGGTAGTTGCCAGAGGCTGGGAGAGAGAGGAAATGGGAGTTGTTCAATGACCACGGAGTTTCGATTCTGCAAGATGAAAAAGTTCTGGAGACTAGATACACAACGATATGAATATACTTAACACTACTGAGCCTATATACTTAAAAATGGCTAACAGGGCAAATTTTATATGTACTTTACCAGTGTCAAAAAAAAAAAAAAAAAAAAGGTGAGTAGACATTTCCATGGATTCATTTTGCCTGAACTAAACATGAGTCTCTTGACAGGGCACAAGCCCAGACTCCCTCTCTAGCCTTATCTCAGACCTTGCTCCTAGTCAGTATTTCTGCCACACTAAACTCCTTCTTTCAGTTCCTCAAATCTATTATGCTGGCTCTTCCTTCAGGGCCCAAGATTTACATAATGCTGGTGGCTCTTCCTCACGTACTATCCAGATCCATTTCATTGTTGCCTATACTTCTTCAGAGATCATCTCAAAACTCTCAGGAAAGCCTTCCCCTAACTGTCTGGATCACAATTTTCTAAAGATATATTCTTAGTCCCTGTATTTTCCCTTCATACTACTTCCCACTGCTGATGATTTCATGTTCATTGTTATTATTATACATATATACCATTATTTTATAAAGTCACGTGAAAGTCTTTTTTTTCCTGATCACTCATTATCATATCACCAACACAATCAGTGTTGAAATAAAGGAAAAAAAGGCATAAAATCAGGGCAGCCACAAACTATAAATCTGCTCACCCACAAGGAATCAAATCCACGACTCTGGAGCATTTTTAGCTATGTATATGAAATTAGAAGCAAGTGCCTTTCAGCAGATGCTAACAGAAGTAGATTCTCTTATGAAGCAATCACTAGAAGAGTAATTTGCTAATTATTTTCTTAAAGAGATGTTATTTAACCTGAAAGTTTACCCTGTTGACAAAAGTATATGTTAAAAGAAAACAGAAAATTTCAAGAAGATCCTGATAAACGAAATAGGGTTTGTCAAAGAATGCACTGAATACTTAATTCCTGCTAAGTAAATACAAAGAAAAATGCTGTCATATACTGAGGAACACATTTACAAACTAACACAAATGACCATATTGTGGAGAAGACCACAATGTCAGTTCAAAAGACACTACTGGTAAAAATAAGAATCATTAAAGGTCAAGCAATGAATGCTTCTTCCAACAGGTAAATTATAAGTTGTAATTTGTAAATAAGAAACAATGGACAGGAAGAAAGGAGAGCCAATGTCCACAATTGAGATTTTCAAACAATTTTTAAAAATGTCAATTCTATAGAATAGCTGGTAAAACTATGATGATTGACACTATCAAATAGTCCAAACAACTTTACTTCCTAGAGCAACTCATTTGTAGTTTCTTAGAGTCCAGTCTTTCTAAAATAGCATGCTACAAATACAGAACTTTCAAGTTCCTGCAAGTAGGAAAAAACTAAGATGCATTTACTAACAAATCACTCTCTAGTACTGTAGGTACAACTATGTGTGCTGAAGATTATCAACTCAAGAGCACGCACCTTAACTTTATCAAAAACCCAAGTATCCAGTTTTGTTACATCATGAGCACCAAAATCTTCAATGTCAGCATCATAGCTACATGTGTAAACATGGTCTCCATAAGCACCTAGGGAGGAAATTTGGGGCAAAATATTTTTAAAAATTTTTTAGGCCTTCATTATATATGAAACAGTCATTTAAAGATTTCTGTGAGTAACCAGAATTTTTCATAAGGCATTGTGTATTATGACGGGAAGAGAAAGATAGGGGGAATAATTAACATTTATTTCATGTGCCACGGACCATGATTTGTACTTTAACACATGCTATTGCTTTTTGTTCTCACAATAATCTTCTAATTTATAGGTACGCTACATGTAAGTTAATTAACTTGGCCAAAGTCACAATGCTGATACATGATAGCACAAAAATAAACACCAAAACCTGTCTCTCTGTACAGATCAACCTATTCAAAAAGTCTGTATGTCTTTGGATGCTACAATTTTTTTTAAATTTTTTTATTACATGTATTTATTTTTGAGAGACAGTGAGAGCAGGGGAGGGGCAGAGAGAGAAGGAGACAGAATCTGAAGCAGGCTCCAGGCTCTGAGCAAGCGTTCAGCACAGAGCCCGATACAGGGCTCAATCCCACAAACTATGAGATCATGACCTGAGCAGATGTCGGACACCCAACTGACTGAGCCACCCAGGCACCCCAGGATGCTACAATTTAAAACAGATGAAGTCATTTGGTTTACAACACTTCCTAAAGCAAGAAGAAAATTCAAACACTTATCTTATTCATAGAATATGTATATTTTTCTAAATATAAGAGAATAAGTATTGTCTATTGCTACATTCTCCGAAGGGGTGAACAAACATATTAATCTTATACCTTTGCAAGATTTTATTAAGAATCTAATCACCTTAGTGAATTTCTGAGATAGGCTCTTATAGGTCACCAGGAAGAAATATAACTAAGGTATAATCTCTTAAAATAGCAATCCAGTTCCAAAGATACTACCACTACTCAGCTATTCCACTTCCCACATCCTAAGTAAAGACCTCAGTGGCTTTCTTGGTTACCGTTACCAAAAGAAATGGAATATTTCTATTGGATTATTTTTGATTCAGGCATTGGTCCAATCCTATCAACTATAACCTGAAGTAGGAGGTAAGCTTGGTGAGTCCTAGGAACTTAATCCATCCTCACCACTTCCAGTCTCCCCAAAAGGTAAACTGCTTTCCAAAGAAGGAAGTATATATAAATGGCAAGCAGTTTGAGGGTTTTTTTTGGCTTTCCCTACATAAGAATGTTCTATGAATATAGAATATAATATGTAAAATTCTGAATGTATATTTTGCTTTCAGGACACACAATAATACTCAACAATTCCAATTATTAAGATTACACCTATGTCTAGGCATTAGGTTATAAAACCTTTTCATTAAGTAAAATGACCAATCATTCGGCTCTCACTAAAAAGCATTTAAAAGGGGCCCTTGGGTGGCTCAGTTAAGCACCCAACTTCAGCTCAGATCATGATCTCACAACTCATAAGTTCGAGCCCCGCATCAGGCTCTGTGCAAACAGCTCAGAGCCTAAAGCCTGCTTTGGATTCTGTGTCTCCCTCTCTTTCTGCCCCTCGCCTGCTCATGCCTTGTCTTTCTCTCTCTCTCAAGAAAAACATTAAAAATTTTTAAAAATAAATAAAATAAAAAGCATTCAATGACACAAAATTCAAATGGAATCCAAACGATTTTTAGAAAATAATATAAGTGAAGTTTCTAATCAATGCACAGAAACAAACACAACAAATCCAAATGTCATGATCTTGAATATATGATAATAGAAATAAGTTATAGCATTTAAATCTTTCTGTGAATATCTACAAACATCTTATAATTTATCAAAATAAAATGAACCAGACATCAACATCATTGTCATAATGAAGAATTATGTGATAAGCGTGTTGCTGTCTAACAAGAATTATCTAATTTAATCCTAAAAACAAACCTATGAAATAGAAACTATTACCACATTTTTAAAAAGGCAAATTGAAGGTCAGAGAAGTTATTGAACTCGCCAAGATTATAAAGCTGTTAAATGTTAGAGCCATATACCACTTCACTGCATTCAAGAAATTAACAAGTATATGATGTGGCAATATTTCAAGTACAACTAAAATAAAGAATCAAATAGACATGTCTATCCATTAAAATATACATTCCTATGTCAGAGAGGTTAAGTATTAAAAACAAGTATCTCAAAAATCAATAAAATACAGTAAGTAACATAAAAATTACCATATTGATTTATTAACTACATGACGTGAGGGAATACAATCAATGACTCTTACCTTTGGCAAACATAGTCAAGATATCTGGGCTTCCCCAGCTCCATGTGTACTTGCTTTCATTAATAAGAGAATCAAATTCCACAGGATTTTCCTTCCATCCTTCAAGGTCATGGAAAAAAGAAGCCAATAGTAACAATAGTAATATATACCTGGTAAAGTATTAGTATAACCCTTAAAGTAGTATTCTTCAAATAATAACAATGAGGATTGCAAAACAAATGCAAAACTGATAATAGATTTTGTTACATGTGTTAAACCATAAATTATTTTAAGATTTTACTTTAAGTAATCTCATATACCATAATTTTCTTTTAAAGTTTATAATAGATAATTTCCTTCTTACTAAGATAAGGAATTTCTTTGGAAGTTTTGAGAGCTAACATCCAGGAAAACCGTGGATCCATCCAATCAGATTGTTTTAGGAGCAGAGGATGACAAAAGCAAAGTTTAATTCTTGAATTAACACCAGTGTGTGTTTATGAATAAGGCATGCTAAAATACTTGCCAAAAGTATGTCAAGACACACGTCACTTTGTGTCATGATTCAGTGTTAAAGAAGCTAGGTTTATGCAACAAATTTTTCATACAATAAAGTCATCAATCCAGACAATACCTTTGGCAACAGCACTGACATCTTCATAAAACCCAGCGATCAGGGCCACATGACCTGGCCGAGACTCAGTTGGCACACGGGTATGAGATATGCCCCAGCTGCCTTCATGCATTATGATATCCCTAAAAGATATCAATGAATAGTTAACACAGACTATGATTAAGTCCTGTTAGAGCTTTAGAAAAATAAGATTATTCCTGGGGCACCTGGGTGGCTTAGTCGGTTAAGCGTCCGACTTTCGCTTAGGTCATGATCTCTCAGTTCGTGGGTTCGAGCCCCGCGTCAGGCTCTGTGCTGACTGCCAGCTCAGAGCCTGGAGCCTGTTTCAGTCTGTGACACCCTCTCTCTGACCCTCCCCTGCTCGCGCTGTCTCTCTCTCTCCTAGAAATAAATAAAACATTAAAAAAAAAAAAAAGAAAAAGAAAAATAAGATTATTCCAGAAGGAATCAAAACCAAAAAGTGAGTCAAAATGTAAGAAGTAACAGAATCTTTCTGGGTCACCTAGATGGCTCAGTCGGTTAAGCATCTGAGTTGAGCTCAGGTCATGACCTCACAGTTTGTGAGTTCTGATCCCAGCTGAGCCCAGCTGACAAGTTGGATTCGGCAGTGTGAGCCAAGGTGGGATAAAGAACCATCCAACCACTACACATGTGTATGAAGCCACAAAGTATTCAGATGGTTTGTTACTGAAAAAATAACTGACACGCACAATATTGTTCCGTGAAAGTCAAATTTCATTAGATGTGATGCGGTATTGCAGTCATGCAGGAGAAAGTCCTTCTTGCATAATACACGCTGAAGTGTTCGGCAGTAAGTGCTTTCAAATTATTCAGGAAAAGGTAATTAAAACTTTAAGCGTGTGTGTGTGTAAATGTGTGTGTGTGTGTGCTGAGAGAGAGAATGCAAATATGAAAACAATTAAAAACCGTTGAACTTAGGATAAGGGCATACAGATGTTCATCATTATAATCCTTTCAATTTCTCCATCCTGAAAAATTCTCAAAATAAAAAATTAAATTCTCAAAAAAATTTCTTAAAAAAACAATCACAAAATAAAATTTTAAAAATTAGCTCCCAATTAGGAGTTAAATTACATTCCTAAATTTGAGATTAAAACGGTCAAAAGTTTTCTTTGCTAAAATGTGGTGTCAGTATTCTTTAGTTGAATCCCAGAGAAAGCAAACCACAGCAATACCACTGCCGGTGAAGGACCTGCAGAGCAACTCGCTATACGACACTCACTGCACTGGTAACGGTTTTCAAGATGAACACCTCATGCCCAAAATAATAACTACTAGTTAACTGGTTTAGACATTCTTTTTTTTCTTAATGTTTATTCATTTTTGAGAGAGAGAGAGAAACAGAGCACAAGTAGGGGAGGGGCAGAGAGAGAGGGAGACACAGAATCTGAAGCAGGTTCCAGGCTCTGAACTGTCAGCACAGAGCCCGATGTGGGGCTCGAACCCATGAACCGTGAGATCAGGACCTGGGTTGTACTTGGATGCTTAATGGACTGAGCCACCCTGGTTTAAATATTCTTAAATACTGACTTACCTCATACTAAAACCAGTTTTGGTTAGATGCATGCATAGTAAAAAGTCTGAAAAACCAGTGACCCACTTATTAAAGGAGAAACATTTTTTAACTTCTCCAGTTATTTAACAAAAACCGAACTTCAACACAAAGCGGGAAGTATAAAGAAATTTGGATCTCTCTGTTTAAAAAAATTTTGATCAGTTCAGATCATATTTTTTAAAAGACAAAGGGAAGAACAAATAAAACCTTTCACAAACAGGTTTAAAGGAAACTAGAAGATTCCAGAAATTGTAAACACAATGGCACATCAACCACACGCGCCCTTGGCCTGCTACCCACCCCCAAACAAGAAACAAGTGCTACCAGTGAAGCTGGCCTCTTCCCTCAGAACCAGTAATTTGCAATAAACTATATTTCTCTCTTTGACAACTAAGAAATTCATCCAAATATATCACCCAAAGTTTTAATTATTTGTAGAAATGTATGTGACATATTTTTGTGAACTGAACTCTGGTTTGATTTTTTCTTGCTCATCTTTTCCCACTGCCCTGAGTTGCTCACTTACTTACTTTGATCCTTTAGTATATTATGCATTTCTGTGAGCCACTCTTAATTTATTTCTGGAAATTAACAGGAATCCAAGGTCCTTCATTCTTCTAGCACTGAACAAATACTTATTAACTGCCTACTATGTTCTAAGAACTGGAAATCAAGCAGTGTACAAAACAAAGGCCCAGCCTTCATGGACCCTGCACATGCTAAGTACTATAAAGAAAACTAAAAAACACAGTAAAACGGACACCTGGGGAGCTCAGTCGGTTAAGCGGCAGACTCTCAATTTTAGCTCAGGTCATGATCTCTCGGTTCATGAGCCTGAGTCCCTCCTCTGCCTCCATGCTGACAGGGAGCAGAGTCTGCTTCAGGTTCTCTCTCTCTCCCTCTCTCTCTGCTCCTCCCCTGCTCACACTCATTCTCTCTCAAAATAAATAAACTTAAGTAAATAAATAAAACACAGTAAAGAGAGAAAAGTAATGATGGCAGGTGAGAACAGGGAAAGATGGAATAATATTTTAGGTAAATTTCCGCTTGAATTTGAGTCTCACTCTCTCTACAACAGCATTAGGAAGGGTTTTTGGGGGACTGGCCACTAGTTAGAAAGACAGTAATTATTTGTAGGAGCCCCATAAGTTTAACAAGTTAAATATTTCTTTCCAAAGGCACTTCATAAACTCTAAAGCCATATTTAACAGTGACATAGATGTGGAAGGGCTTTCTATATTTTATAGGTGTATTTTGAGTTGAACTCTATATTTTCTAGCAAAACACTGTTGAAATTAGCAATTCACTAATATTTATGCTTGTCATTATTTTAGAAATGTAACAGGCTTATTTTATAAGAAAAAAGATAATATAGCAATTTGTAAGCCAGGTTCGTTCGGGAAATGAGGCCAAGCTAGGCCAAGCAGCTAAGGTCACACATAACTCCTGGGAAGAAATAAACCCTGTTAATCCACAAGACAAAGGTAGATACATATGTGCCCTTTTCTCTTTCTCATCATCACTTCTATGTCCGACATAAGATCAGACGATATCAGGGTAACATTTTCTCTGTTTCAGTTGACATGCTTACCTAATAAATGGCGCTCTAGAATTTCCATTTTCATCTAGTTCATAAAGTGTATCTGCCCGCAGGCCATCCGCAACAAACAGTACTAATCTTTTTGCTGGAGGAGGCAATGGCGTAAACTGAGGAGTCATCCCATGAACCAAAGGAGAGGTAAAATAAATATCAAAGATGGAGCCGAAGAACACAAAATGTACGAACAATCCCAAAATAAAGAAGAGCAGCATATCCAGTGTGACTAATTAGTCTTCAAGAAAAACTGAGAGAGGGAACAAAATTAAATCTGGATAATCCTTAATGCAACTACACATATTTTTACATATTTTGATGACTGCAAGTAGAACTGAACACATAATTTAAAATATTACATAATTTATGTAATTCACTTTCATTTATGGTGATAACATTATTTAATGATATAATACTGAAAGAAATACATGATAAAATACACCCGCACAAAGAGAAAGTTTAAGTATAACACACAATCAGCACCACTAAACTATTTATTTAGAATAATTTTAAATGCAAGGTAAGTTCATAAAAACTAACACAGGATCAAAAACAAAGAATTAAATGAATCTTAAAATGAGTCAGGGTTCAGTCAAATCAAATCGTGTATAAAACAGAAAATCACGCACGGTGCTCTTGGCTGCCCATATGACCACCACTGATATTCTTGGAATTTAACATTACTTAAATATTTGTGGATTTTGTTTTGACTTTTGGTTATCAGCTCGGGACATTGGTAGATTCTCCTGATAATCACCAAGTTGAGCAGATAACATGCATTTTTGTCTATTTAGCTGAATTATAGGAAGGAAAAAGTAGTTAAATTCCGTATGTTTCAGGAAATGTACACTCACTAAGGGAACACTTTTAGTTCCCTGAGCCAATACAAAAAGGTGAAGGTTATATTCATTCATTCAATGAAAATGCTTGTGCACATATTCTGTGGATAACTGTGTATGGGGTACAACAGAGAACACCAAGAAGACATAGTCACAGATCTGATAAGCTTACAAATACTTACAGAAAGAAAACTAAGCAATATGAAACATTTAAATAATACTGTAAGACAGTATGCCATTAACTGCCAAGATCAAATCCATGGGAGTGTTTTTCAAGCCAGTCTACAATTTACTTTTGTTGGTGAATCTCCCTGCAGATTAAAAACAACAACAACAAAGTATTCTTCATTTGTCTTTCTTGTAATACAACTACAGTTAGTTACCTACAGTGATCCTTAGCTGAAAAACATCAAAGATCAATTAATTTTAATTATAGGCACCTCTTATTCTTCCTGGCCTAAAGAATTACATCATAGAAGGAAAGGATGGCAAAATACTTTGTAAAAACCCTGAAACACTGGAGGTGGGGGAGGGCGAGGGGGAACCCTTATCAAGGTCAAGCACATCATAAAAAGAATAGGACATAGAGTAAATTGGCCAAATTATGGGCCACTATTTTCCTAAGAGAATCAAGAGTCAAGTAAGTATCAAAGATATTCCACAAAGTACAAAAAGTCCCTTAGTAAGAAGATGCTGGTCTGCAACCTAAGACAAGACTCTCGGAATAAATATTCTTTTTCTAATATATCTGAATTTCAACTACATAGCAAGCACCATCTTAATAATGGTATTCTGAACATAAAAATAAAACAATCACTGGGGCGCCTGGGTGGCTTAGTCGGTTAAGCGTCCCACTTTCGCTCAGGTCATGATCTCGCGGTTCGGGTTCGAGCCCCGCGTCGGGCTCTGTGCTGACTGCCAGCTCAGAGCCTGGAGCCTGTTTCAGTCTGTGACTCNTCGGGCTCTGTGCTGACTGCCAGCTCAGAGCCTGGAGCCTGTTTCAGTCTGTGACTCCCTCTCTCTCTGACCCTCCCCTGCTCACGCTGTCTCTCTCTCTCCTAGAAATAAATAAAACATTAAAAAAATTTAAAAAAAAAATAAATAAAAAATAAAACAATCACTGTGATAAAGTTGGAAAATACAGAAACATCACCTGTGATTTTACCACCTAAAGAAAAATCGGTTACGTTTCTTATAGTTTTTCTCCATTCTACATTTTTATAAAGACTCACAATTTTATGTATTTATATATTTTCCCCCTTATTGTATATTAAGATTTCTTTATTACGTAAACAAAACAAAACAAAACAAAACAAAAAACCCTCTTTGTACACACCTTTTACCATTACCATGCTCTATTCTACGGGTACACTGAAATTTTCCTGATCACCCCCATGCTGTTAAACAGAGCTTTTTATCCCCCATTTTTTCACTATTAAAAGTGTCAACATGATTTGTAGTTTTTAATGTTAACTTTTAGATATTTCACAGTATGTGTTTAGAATATTGCATATAAATGAAATACTGAGTCAAAGGCTATGAGCTCCTTTAAGGCTTTTGATATACTGTATCCAGAAACATTTTTTTAGCTGAATACTGATTCTCCTAATGACAAATTAAGATAACACAAGCGATATAGATTTCTCTTATCTCACAAGCCCTCCTAAAGAAAAAGCTATCGTTTCAAACAGACACAGTATGACAAACTAAATTTGATGAATTGAAAAGGAGACATTGAGAACAATACTCTAAATGACAAGATTTCAAATAGAGACATTGTAATTAATAAGTGTTTCAAGAAAGGAAGGTTTGGTCGACTGTGTCAGATAAAGACTGGAGTAAGAGCACGGCGGCAGAGTCATTTGGTGGCTGGAGGTGCTTGTTCACGTCACTGAGGAATTTGAACAGAGTAGTGAGGGCTAAGCCCTGTGAAAGTGCTTGTCTGAAAAGTGAGCAGGCGGTAAGGAAGGGAAAGACAGTGGAATGAGTACAGCTTTTTGGGAGAGTGTTAACTCTGAAGAAGAAAGATGAAAATCGATGTAGGGCCACTAGACCGTTTTCTTCTGCTAGAAATAATTTTGGGTGCTGAGGAACGAGTCTGAATGCAGAAAGAGACCGATGCCGCGGCAGAGAGTTGGGGTAACTACAGGAGCTGCCAGCCCTTGTGAAAGCAAGAAAAGATGGAACGAAGAGCACAAGTGGAGGAGACGGCCTCCTCCTGGTTAGCATGGAACCTTCCTGCTTTGGGCCTCGAAGGTCTTGCACCTGAGAAACCTCTCAAGTCTACATAATCTATCTTGGGCTCTTCAGTTGACTCATCCCATGGCAGCCTGCCTCTCAATGCTCTCGCATCTTCTCAGATGGCACCTCCTCAAGGTTTCTCTGACCACCAGAAGTAGACTCCTCCTTTATTTTCCTTGATTTAAATAACCATACATTCTGGGGCAGCTGGGTGGCTAAATAGGTTAAGCATCCGACTTCGGCTCAGGTCATGATCTCATGGTTTGTGAGTTCAAACCCCACAGAGTTCAAACCCCACATTGGGCTCTGTGCTGACAGCTCAGAGCCTGGAGCCTGTTTCAGGTTCTGTGTCTCCCTCCCTCTCTGCTCCTCTCCTGCTCATGCTCTGTCTGTCTCTCTCTCTCTAAAATAAACATTAAAAAAAATTTTAATAAAAAATACTAATGTTGAATGTTCTACCTACATCATTAGTGAAATGGAATCATGCAATATACAGTTTATTACATCTATTTTCATTTAGCATAATGTTTTTGAGATTCATGCACGTGATTTAGTTGTTTGTTCCTTTTTAATATTAAGAAGACTTCTACTGTATGGATATACTACAAATTGTTTATTAACCTCTTGAAGGATATGTGAATTGTTTCCAGTTTCTGGCTATTATAAATAAAGTTTCTTAGAACAGTACATGCACAAGACTTTATGTACACATGCTTTCATTTCTCTTGAGTAAAGATGCAGAATGAGAATTGCTGGGTTAAATGGCAAGCAGATGTTTAAATTTACATAAAGAGCTGACGAACTTCCTCCAAGTTGCTTTACACACCTGTTATACACTGTCTTTTCAGAAAGTATTTTAAAACTTTATTGACAATCTATAATTTTGCTATAAATGCCATTTAAGAATTTAACCTAATTTTTATCATAAGTGTAATGTGTTTTACATTCTTCGATATACTGTGCATAATATATCTCCCTAGTAAGAGTATTCAGTTAGAGCACCAGCCACTTACTAGTGACTGTACTCTGCATCAGACCCTGCACTTGGGCACTTTACACTATCTCCGCTAATCCTCAGAATCTGCTGTGTTTATTGAGTATTAGAGTCCCCACTTTCATAGCAGGAAATTGAGTCTCACAGGGCCTAAGTGATCCTCCAAAGATAGTAAGGGGAAGAGCTGAGATTGGAATCCTGGGTCACATCACTGGCGAGCCTAAGCTTTTTCTAACTCTTATTCAGATAACCAGCGTGTCCAGAACTGATCTCAGTATCTTTCTTTGAGGGGCAGGATGGCATTACAATATAGACTGTGTACAGAAGCATACCACTGTGGGGATTCAAATCCTGTCTTCTCTACTCACTGGCTGTGTGACTTAAAGCAAGTTTACTTAACTACTTTGTGCCTCAGTTTCCTCATCAGTTAAATGGGGATAACAAGAGTAACTTCCTGCTGGGGCACTATTAGAACTGAGTTAATATGTGTAAAATATGCAGAAGTGTGTCTACCACCGTCAGCACTCATTAAGTATTAGCTAATTAAATATTAGCCAATATTGTTCCTGATGTACATGAAATTGGACTCATCATGTGAGAAAAACTTGTTTGCCTTCCTTGTTGAGTTTAAAATCTAATTGAGTAGATGTAAATCTCTTAGAAAACCAAATCCCAAACTCTGTTTCATACCAAAGCATCAAGTTTGGCTTCACTGCTCTGTTGCTACTTTCCTTATCTATACGGGTATTTTTTTTCATTCTAGTAAGAACACTTAACGTGAGATCTATACTCTTAAATTTTTAAGTGTACAATACAGTATTGTTAACTATAGGAACAATATTGTACAGATGTCTAGAATGTATTCATCTTGCAAAACTGAGATTTTCTAGCTACTGAACAATAACTCCCATTTCTCCTGCCCCCACTCAGTCCCTGGGGACCATCATTCTACTCTCCACTTCCTTTAGTCTGACTCTCTTAGGTTATCTCATGTAAGGGTCATGCTGTTTCTGTCCTGTAATTAGCTTATTTTCATTCTAGCTCCCAGGCCACAAATGTCTGATAGACCCAGTTGCTCCATATATTTGCCAACATATTTGGTATTTTATCCTGTTTAATTTCACCTTTTCTCTAAGTGGGAGTGTACTTGTAACCTACTGTAGTTTTAATTTACATTTCCCTGATGACCAGTGACATTCAGGAACTTCTCATGTGTTTACCAGGCATTTTCTTAATACTCTTTTCCCCTCTTTTCATTTTTTTAAAAAGTTTATTTCTTTATTTTGAGAGAGACAGACACAGAGAGAATATCCCAAGCAGGCTCTGCACAGAGGTGGATACAGGGCTTGAACCCACAAACTCTAAGACCATGACCTGAGCCAAAATCAAGACTCAGAAACTTAACCTACTGAGCCACCCAGGTGCCCCTCCCTTTTCATTTTTAAATATTTTTCAAAAAGCAGTACTTTCCAATTTTGGTTAAGTTCAATTAATTTTTCTTTTAGTTACTTATTTTGTGACCTCCATAAGGAATTTTTGTAAATGACAGCACTTCTTTTAATACAAATTGTTCATCTTTTTTATTTGAAAGTAACTTCAAACTGAGAAAATAGAAGAATAATGGTACAAAAGCCAGTATACCCCTTAGCCATACACATCTAATGTTAACATTTTCCCCGTTGCCTTTATCATTCTCTGTCTGGCCTCTCCTGTCTCTGCCTCATCTATCTTACCCCCGGTGTTTGTAAACGCACACCCATGTGTGTATGCATGTGCAGAAAATTACATAGTATTGTTTTGGAAACATCTGAGGCTAAGTTACATGCTCTCTGGCCCTTAACCTCTAAATACTTCAGTGTTTATTTCCTGAGAACAGTGATACACTCTTTCAGCAGTCGTCAACTTCAGTAAATTCAACATCAGTATTTTATATCATCCACCATCTGCATTCCAGTTTCTGAAGTGCCCCAAGAATGTTCTTTACAGCATTTTTATAGCTGTACTGAGGCATAACTGGTCTATAATAGGTTGTACAGATTTTAAATGTACAATAAACACAGTCAAGATAATGAACAT